AACCTTTTTTCAAGGTTCTAGTTTCTTTGCAATGGGTGAACATGTTCTTTTATATCAGAGAAGTTTCTTATTACTCACCTTCTGAAGCCTGTTTCTGTCACTTCATCAGACTCATTTTCCATCCAGCCTTGTTCTCTTGCTGGTGAGGAGTTGTGATTCCTAGGAGAAGGAGAGGTGTTCTGGTTTGGGGTATTTTCATCCTTTTTCACTCTGGTTTCTTCCCATCTTTGTGGATTTATTTACCTGTAATCTTTGTAGTTGGTGACTTTCAGATAGGGTCTCTGAGTTGACATCCTGTTTGTTGATGATGAAGTTATTTCTTTCTGTTTCTTAGTTTTCCTTCTAACAGTCAGATCCCTCTGCTATGGGACTGCTGGAGGGCCACTCCAGACCTTGCTTGCCTGGGTATCACCTGCGGCAGCTGCAGAACAGTAAGGGTTGTTGCCAGTTTCTTCTTCTGCTATCTTTGTCCCAGAAGGATACCTGCCAGATGTCAGCATGAGCTCTCCTTTATGAGGTGACTCTTTGGATATACAGGGGTCAGGGAGCTGCTTGAGGAGACAGTCTGCCCTTTATAGGAGCTCAATTGCTGAGCTGTGAGCTCTGTTGGGCAGGTATGTTTAAGTCTGCTGCAGCAGAACTCATAACCACCTTTTTTCCCCCAGGTGCTCTGTCCCAGGAAGGTAGGGCTTTATTTAAAAGTTTCTGTCATACCGCTGCCTTTTTTCAGGGATGCCCTGCCCAGCAAGGAGGCAGCCTAGTCACAGTCTGCAAGCAGAGGCGTTGCTGAGGCTCTGCTCAGCTGCTGTGTGAACTTCCCTGCAGTCCTGTTTATAGGGGTATAGTTAGAAGTGCCTCGGCAATGGTGGCCCACCTCTGTAATGGCAGACTCTCTCTGTGATGGCGGACTGCCTGGGCAATGATGGGCTGCCTTGCTAGTGGTAGACTACCTCGATAGTGGTGGACTGCCTCGGTAATGGCAGACACCCCTCCCCCACAGAGCTGGACCATCACGGGTTCAGCTGTGCTTGCTGTGGAACTCCACAGCGTTTCAGATTGCTGGTCTTTGTGGGGGTAGGACCAGCTAAGCCTGATCACCTGGCTCCCTGCCTCAGACCCCTTTGTTTTCAGTTGAAGGGGCGACTCTGTCTCCCAGGTGTTCCAGTCACCAGTTGAAACAGTGACCGGATTTGTGTGAGTTCTTGGGCGGAGACCCACTGTACCAGCTGAAACAGCTGTGCTGGAGACTTGTGGCACTTCTTTGCTCGGGAGTCTCCTGGCCTGGCTCTGTTTCAGTCCCCTTTTTTCCATATGAACGAGCGACCCTGTTTCCCAGGTGTTCCAGTTGCCAGCTGAAAAGGCACCCAGATTTGTGTGAGTTTCTGTGTGGAGACCCACCATGCTGGCTGAAACAGTTGCGCTGTAGACCCGTCGCGCTCCTCTGCCCAGGGAATCTCCTGTTCTGTAGGCAATAAAAATCCATCTGGAAATGCAGCAACCACTCACCCTCCACGCTGTTGCTGGGAGCTGCAATCCAGAGCTGCTCCTACTCAGCCATCTTAGATCGGGCCAGAAATGGGATTTTCTAAAAAATCAGTAGTACTCTAACTACCCTGTCTCATGTCTGCTGCAATGACCTCTTCCATAATGACAAGAATCAGTGAATCATGATAGAATGCCCAGGTGGGCTTTGATTGATATCTCCTTTAAAATGAAACTTACACCATAAAACAGGAAGGACAAGGGACACTATTGGCTGCCTGTCTCTTCAACGTGAGGCTGCATTAAGGTGACTGTGAGAATTCCTGTAGAGTTTGTCAGCACTGCAGCTCCTCCAGCTTCCCAGCTCTCACCTGCAGAGCATCCTGGCAACAGCATGGAGTGCAGTAGAGGCCCTGCATGTCCAACAGCCACTGCAGCTAATTCCCCCAGAATGCTTTGAGAAACCCCAGGCCAGGGCATATCAACAACCTGGCAACTTCACGAAAAAAATTATTTCTTAATTGAACCATAAACTGTGAATATTAAATAGCTCACTATGTATAGAGGTAATATTTAATACTCATGAAATTTGGCTGCAAAGTACTTACAATATTCCAAGTTACAGAATTTTATTCCTAACACAACTTATAGCAGATTTCATATAATTTAAAGTGACTCTTAATCTATAGATTATAATCAGACCAGAACACTCATCAATTCATATAAACAACTGAAAGCAGGGCTGAGCCAGTGACAGAAAACAAAAAACAATAAAAGCCGGGTTTTTCAAGCTACGGGTTAAAAGTAACACACTAGAAGAAAAACGTGTTATGGTTATGTCTTATGTACACAGGTATACGTGTAGAATAATGTCTCAGAAGTGGGAATGCTAAATCTAAAATGTGAATGCATTTGTACCTCTGAGACATTTCCAAAGCAACTTCTACAGAGGTTATACTATGTTACACTCCTAACAGCAAAGTTACAAAGATGTCTGTGAATACTAATCTCACCCACTGAGCCTGATCAAACCTTGGGATGTTTCCCAATCTAATGGATTAAAAAATACAGGTATCTCCTGTAGTTTTAATTTGCACTTATCTTATTATGAACGAGGTTAAACATTTTTTGTGAAATGTCTTTTCTCATCCTCTACCCATTTTTTTCAAGTTATCATTCACCTTCTTATCAATTTGTGAGTGCACTTTATACATGAAGGAAATGACCCCTTTTCTATTACCTAAGCTGAAAATATTTTCCTAGTTTGTCTCTCAGTCCTGATTTTACTCTGGCATATTTTTCCTTTAATTCAGAAACGCTTTATCCTTAATTGACTGAGTGATAAGATTTTATTTTCTACATGGTATCTAGGTATGACAGAAAGGTCAACCTTTCAAAAGGAGAGACACTTTGTAATGAATACACATAGGCAGTGACCACCCCAAAGCCACAGTCAGCTCACATGTAGCAGAGGAGAAACAAGGCAGTGGGAGGCTGGAAGCAGGCAATGAAACTCAAAGAGGGTTTTTGCTTCCTCAAGGCACTTGCGATGCAGCTGGTAAGAGAGGGACTGACTCACACACAGTCAGTGCCACTGCAGTGCTGTGAGAGCAGGGCAGGAGAATGCACAGTGCAAGTGCTATGCTGGGAAAGGCAGCACCTGACACTCTGAGGGAACAGTAGGCTTGGGTGAGGGCAACAAAAGTGAGGGAGGTTTCCTTCGGAAAAGCAGGATTTGCCACACAAAGTCTTTGACTACAGCATACGCATGGGACGCAGGAGGACTCCGTCAGCCAGGTTCACCACAGCTGAGGCTTCAGGAAGCCAAGGCAAGGCGGAGCTCAGGGCTGAAGTCAGTCCTTGGACAGCAGGCTACAGAGGCCAGCATTCCCCTTGAACTTTGCTGAATCGAGGAGTCCTTAGACAGGAGGGGGCATGATAAGAGTAGCAGCATTTAAACAAGGTTATCATGGGAAGTCTGGCTGTTTTTCATTGGTTATAATCACTTGTTTAATCTTATTTTGTTTAATAAACTAATGGTAACTTTGCTGAATAATTAAATGTCTGTTTTCAAATGTGAAAATAGGTAAATAACTCCTTTGATAGTTTAAAAGAAAAAAATATTAAAATGCCACCTTTTATAAGAAAGGACGGTAGAATAAGAATATATACTTAAATCTGCACGTACAATGTACAACAAATTCAGAAAAGTGGATACCACCAGGAAGGAGAAGGGAAGGTCAGGTGGCAGGGTGGAAAGCAAGGAAGACATTTCACTGTGTACTTTGTAGTTTTCATTTTTAAACTGATGCATTATGTATTCCAAAAATTTACACTTAAAATGAAAAACACCTTAGCTTCCTACTTGACAGTTACTCTGTGTTATACACAATTATGAGAGCAATCATCTTTCACATATAACTAAGTCAGATTTTTTTTCCTTTCACCATAACTGATTTCTATGCTAGCTAGCCCCCTGGGCCTCACTCCTCCAGCCTCCCTCCCTAACTTTCTGTGGTGGGCAGCTGCCCTTTCTTTCTCTCAGAGAGCTCTTCTTCAGAAACCTGAGTGAGCCTCATCATTATTTAAGGTTGACCTTTCTGTCACACCCAGAGTAATCATTTTACAACTATACTGTCACTGCACTTGGAAAACTCTCTGACATCCAAAGAATATACACAGTGTTAGATAAGGTACTGGTGCACAGCACTACATCTAGAAGGCCTATGTGTAAGGTTGGGAAGAATAATTTCTATCCTTGCTCACTTCAGAATGATTTAATAGTGTCTACTTTTATAAATGTTTCATTGTAGCTAAAAATATTATTCCATAAAATTTCCAAGGCACATCAACTTCAGAGGAATGCCTCAGGAGTGGGTTTCCATGTAAAACATGCTGGTGGCTCATATTTTGGGCATCTGCCTTCAGTAGACCCTACTGACACAAGCACACTGACAGGCATGTTAGCTTAACCCCAAACAGCTGACAAGGTAAAAATACAAAACTCATAACATTCTATTTTTTCCTGGTTATATCTAACAATAGCTCAAAGGTTCTTAAAACCCAGCATGTTAAAAAAAAAAAAAAAGTCACACTTAGCAGTATTTCTTCTTGTCACAATAACACCAAATTTCATAAATATTTTATGAAAAATACCATGAAAAGGGCAGCACTGACTAACAATGTGCACCTCGGTACTGCCGAGGACGTGCTCCTCACACCTTCCTCTCCTTTATGGAGCTTTCCATTTGTATGCGTGAACTCTGGGTAGAAAGAGGCTGGATGAATGGTAATGGATAAGTCCATAGGACTAATATGACAGCCAAGAAACACCAAACTTGGCAGGACTAATGCAATTTCAACTGTTACATCTTAATAACATCTTGAAAAATACACCTGGTAAATGTAATGAAGGAAAACAGTACATTAACCTACTGTTAAAGCTGAATGAATTCCACACAAACACTGGCACCGTATGTGTCACGTGGCAGGCGTTTCCGGTGCACGAACACACTTACCCGTCATGGTCGGTGCCTCTCTTTGCTGCCCTCCATTGTCCTTCCCTTCGTAAACCACTGTAACATCATAAATTGCATCTAAATACTTCTTCATGCAATCAAAAGCAACGTGAGTTGCCTTTATCCGTGGTGTTAGCACATACTTCAATACTGGAAGGCCTAGAAGAGAAGTCAATTCAGTGTGGCCATAAATTAGTTACAGAACACCTCCACAATAAACTAGATTAACTTTAACATCTAAATTATTTAAAAATTTCCTCAAATAACACACCAGAATCAATTAATGCCATCACCTCATATCTTTAGAGCTTTAAGTTTAGAAAGCACTCACACTTGCTTTTTTTTTGAGACGGAGTTTCGCTCTTGTTACCCAGGCTGGAGTGCAATGGCACCATCTCAGCTCACCACAACCTCTGCCTCCTGGGTTCAGGCAATTCTCCTGCCTCAGCCTCCTGAGTAGCTGGGATTACAGGCATGCGCCACTGTGCCCAGCTAATGTTTTTTTTTTTGTTTGTATTTTTAGTAGAGACAGGGTCTCACCATGTTGACCAGGATGGTCTCGATCTCTTGACCTCCTGATCCACCCGCCTCGGACTCCCAAAGTGCTGGGATTACAGGCGTGAGCCACCGCACTGGCCACACCTGGCTTTTTTTGTTTAAATCAAGATTCATTTGATATATGTTGATCAAATATCTACATGCACAAGTCACTGTGTTAGAAGTCTGGGGCCTATTGGAAACCCTTCAATGCAGTAAAGCCAGGCAAGGGCAAATATTAATATCCTCACTTCTGGCCACTGAACAAAGGTGGTAGCATCTTGCCTATGGTTACTAGAGATTTCGCAGAAATAGTCACATGGCACATGGCCTCCTGTGTCCGGCTTCTCTCACTTGGCCTGGAGCCAAGATGCATCTGTGTGGCTGCAGGTGCCAGTGCTCCACTCCTCTGTATGGCTGAGGAATATTCATGGACATTCAGGTTGCTTCCATACTTTGGCCACCATCAGTAACACTGCTATGAACAAGCTTTTGTATCAACATAAGATTCCATTTCTCTTGGGTATATCTGATGTATTTTTAAAAGCGTCTTTAGCTGGGGAACTACTGCAATTATCCAGAACAAATCACATTCATTAGGTTCCTAGTAGGGTTAAGGATTTGCTCTTCTCTTCTCCCTATTACCTCCCTTTTTGACTAAAATATTTACTGACAATTTAACAGAAAACAGTAGCTCTATATAAGTGACATGAAAATAGACTACACAAAACTAGTCTAGATTTTGTACTGGCCCCTCTCCAGGGAAAGTAGCTGAGTAAGGAAGAACAGCTATTACATGGTGGGACTGTCTCACACAACAATTTTCAAAATGCAGGGTGGTGTGGGAAAGAAAAAGATTCCCACAACCACATATCTAACTTGAGTCCCCAGGGCAGAAGCAGTTAAATTTATTCACAAACTTGTAACAAAAATCTCAACAGCGTACCAAGCTGGGAAGCATCTATTTGTCAATTAAACTAGTTAACACTTCCTACTGGAGCTCATCTAACTCGATAAAGTCCAAAGTTTCAAAACAACACTCTGTGGTGCTCACTAAGAACAACTAGTTACTAAAATCCAAGTAAGTTAGTAAGAAAATAAAGAAACAAAGTATTTTTAAAACACAAAAGAAACTGAATTATCATCAAAGTCTGAGAAAAAAATAGCTTTATGACCTGAATCGTAGCCATTAATAATATGCAAACAAAACTAAAAATAATCTTCCAATTAAGGAATACACTGGGAATGGCTTAATTATTCCAGACATTTTCTGTATCCAATTCTCTGTATCCAAATTCTACAAAGTCCAGGTTTTAGTATCCAGCTAATGAAGATGAAGAAAAGCAAGGGGACTGTGGTGGTGACACAGGTGGCCCCAGAGGAAGACAGCTCAGGAAGGGCGAAGTGCTGAGCTGCATTTGCTGGAAGACACAGAAAGGCCCAGAACCAAGACATGACTCCTGGGCACAATGGGGGGTCCATGATACCTTGATCGGTATTTTCAGTGCGGTGGTGGGAACTGAAGTGTCACTATTGTGAAACTATAAACATGTAAGTTAGATGTTAATGAGGCAATAAAAAAAAAACAGCTATAGTACATGGTAGACTGTCTTAAAAGAGAGAGAAGATATTCTCAGAATGTAAAAATATTACTCATACGTCAAGGTTTTTTTAAATCACACACATCTGATCCGTGAAAGCTTCAGGACAAAGAGCCTGTGGAGATATGTCAAGGTGAAGGTATGCAACACACAAAGAGGGCAGAAGGACTCGTGAACAAAGGTACAGAAGCAGGGACCCGGGAGACCTCTGGAGCACTTGTGCAGAGCAGGAGGGGCTAAGAGTGACAAGCACACCAGGTCACACTGCTGTGAGCTTCAGAATAATAGGCTGAGGCACATCCATTGATGTGTAGAAGTGCAAGGATTGGAGGCCGAAGAATGGACTGAATGTAGGTGCGAAGAGTTAACAGTTCCAGCCTGAGAAGGGGTTTAGGACATTAGGTCATAAAGCAACAAAACGCTGAATTAGGACTGAAGCAGTGAAAACTGAAAAGATAAAATGTAATCAAGTTATGTTAGAAACACCAAATATATACTGAACCAGCAACTGACTGAGTGTGGTCTAAGGGAAAAGGAGAAAAAAATAACCAGACTTCTGCTCTAGAAGGCGTAGATAAAGCCAGACCACAACTAGAAGGGGAATGAATGGCCAGGAGGAGGACATGCAGAGCAGGCCCATGTGCACGCACCTGTCACACAGAGAGAGAAGACGGAGGGCAGGAGGCTGAGAAAGAAAGAGAACGTGGAGCTGGGTGCAGTGGCACGTGTATGTCTGTAGTCCCAACTACTTAGGAGAACTGCTTTAGCCTGGGAGTTGGTTGGGAGGGGAGAGAAGAGAAGAAAGAAAGCAAGAGAGAACGAGTGAGGGAAGGAACAAGGGAGGGAGGGAAAGAAAGGAAAAGACGGAAGGGAGACAGAAAGAAAGAAGGGGAGAGAGATGAGTTCAAATTGGGCATACTGAGCTGAAGTAATAAAACATTCTAGAAGTAGTTGGAAATATGGTCTGTGAAATGGCAAGAAACCCAAGATAAGCATGTGGAAATCATGTGAATGGATAAGATGACTGAAGTAAGGCAGATGACTGAGGCCACGATGGAGACGGCACAGATGGCATCAAAAGCTTAGACACTGCTGAAGCCGCCATGTCTAAGAGGAAAGTGTTCCTCTAAAGTTCTCTTCTTAGACATGGTAGATTCAGCAGTTTCTTCCAAAGAAATCCAAGTCAAGAGAGTCCACATTAAGATTCTGAAATCAAAAGGGATATTGGGTGCACTCTTTCCAGAGAAACATAACTTTCCGAAGGCAAAAAATTCCTTGAATGTGAGGAGAAAAAAAAATCCATGAAAACCATGAGGTAGTCAAAGGAGAAAACTAAAAGGACTGCTAAACACGGACTTGGCTCAGCTGACATTAAACAGCATGGCTTGGCTGTAGAAGGCAGTCGGCATTATCTTACGATGTTCTCCACTGAGAAGGAAGGGAGAAAACCAACAGGGCTGCCAAGGGCTGAGGAAAGGTAGGGCAGGAACAGAACAGCTCAGCATTGGGATGGGCTGACCCCGGGACTTGGGCAAGCAAGAGCTGCAGAAGGCCCTGAAAGCCGCAATAGGGCCAACAAGAGAGGTTAGAAATGACCCAAAAACACAGGTTCAGAGTGAGTGAGGAGGAGGTAGAACCGAGTCAGCTACATCCTGTGGGTGACCCAGCGCCATTTCCAGACAAACTTCAAGGTGGTGAAAGCAGAGCATTCAGCCAAGCACAGGAAACCCGTATAGGAGAACGGGATCCCGAGAGAGCCTCCACAAGGGACAGCAGCCCTGCCAACACCTGGATTTCAGCTGGGTGAGACCCATTTCAGACTTCTCAACTGTAAGAGAATAAATCTCTGGTGTTTTAAGCCACCAACGCTGTGGCACTTCCTGAGAACAGCCATAGGAAGCAAACATACCTTCTTACACTTCGGGCAGAAGGGTGGGAGTGCCATCACCACCCACAGCTGAGCACTAGTCTTTTTGTTTGCTATGCTTTCAGAAGTTGGCTTCAAAGTATTCATTCAATTTATATTTCCTTGATTATGAGAAAGAATAAACATTTGTTCAAGTGTGTGAGTCTCATTTGTATCTCTTGAATTTCTTATTCATGCCCTTTTCCCATTTTTCTAGTTTATGTCTTTTCTTACTAATGGTAACATACTAACTAGGAATCACTGCGTTATAAAATATTATCAGCTTACCATTTGCCAACTAAATGTGTTCATACGATGCTTTAGACATAATTTTTATTCAGTTACGTCAACAAAGAAAAAATTGCTTTGTAGCTTATGCCTTTGTTCTCACATTTTGAAAGGACTCTCGAATCTCTACAATTGCCAGTGTTATTCACAGAATGAAAGCAAAGTTTCATAAATCTGAAGTAACAGATCTGAAGTAACAGATGAGCTTTGAGTCTATGAATAACATGAAAATTCTGGTATCTGGTTTGCCATTATAGACACATCGCTAAGTTTCTGTTTTCTATTACAAGAGTTCAAAAAGCTTAAGTGTGTCACCTTCACTGGTTACTATGGTTTTAACCATAGCATTTAAAAAAAACACACTATAGGGGCTCACTTTAATGAGTTCAGGAGGCAGATTAAGATACATTTAATTCCAAATTCCTAACCTCTGGAAAGCCAACTATCTAAAACGATTCTAATTAGTTAAAATAAACCCTGTGTATAGCTGAGGAGAGTTGGAGCATCACTGCAGGCCTGCACTGCACTTCTGCAGGACCCCCTGTGAATAGCTTCTTCCTCCATGTCTAAGTTTCCTAAGAGGTATGCAACTGCTACCAGTTTGTTCCTTTTGTGAATGAAACTTAGGCAAAAAAGCTGAATGTGAGAGTCACCAAAACAAGAAATATGAGTGTACTCGTGGAAGGATAAACTCTATCTTCCATACGCTGAGTTTGAGACATCCCTTTGGGCTAGCCAAGTGAAGCTCTCTAGTGGACAACTACAGATGGTTGTAGAGTTAGGCAGAGAGATATGGAGGGGAGGAAGCTTTTGCGAGTCATCAGCAGTCAAGTAAACAGTAGCTAATGCCATGGATTTAGAGGAAGACCACCATGAGACACAGAAAAAGTGAAATTAATTAAAGGCCAAATCCTAACATTGGAAATAATACATGAAGCAGGGAAAGATGAAGCAGGAGTCTGGAAAGGAAGCGAGGAAATAATCGCCAGAGAGATGGGAGGAGAATGGAGGACAGCCCCACTGAAGTTAGGGAGAGAATGTCAAATCAGACCACAGCAAATTGAGGGCAGAGAGAGAACTACAAAAAGTGCTTACAACAAAGGTAGACTAGATTCAGAAGGCTTTGGCCGTTAAGGAAAGGGGGTAAAGTGGGTGCTAGGAAGAGGAAAACACAAATTTGAGAGAGGGGATTTTTGTTTTGTTCTGTTTAATAAATATGAAAAGGGCAGCAGAGACAATGGCATTGCAAAAGAGCAACTAAAATGACAGATCGTGGTATCTACACTAGACAGAGGAAGCAGTGCAAGTCAAAAGGGAGCTGACGGACTGGGGGACAAACTGAGCCCTTGTATTCTGAACCACTCTTTAATCAGGACATGTGTTTAAAAACAAACCAGCCTTTTTTTTTTTCAAGACAGAGTTTCACTCTTGTTGCCCAGGCTGGAGCGCAATGGCATGATCTTGGCTCACTGTAACCTCCGCCTCCCAGGTTCAAGCAACTCTCCTGCCTCATCCTCTCAAGTAGCTGGGATTACAGGTATGTGCCACCATGCCTGGCTAATTTTTTTGTACTTTTAGTAAAGACGGGGTTTCTCCCTGTTGGTCACACTGGTCTCGAACTCCAAATCTCTGGTGATCTGCCTACCTTGGCCTCCCGAAGTGCTGGGATTACAGGCATGAGCCACTGTACCCAGCCAAACTAACATTTTTTAAATATACTATTACAAATGATGTCATATACGTATGACATATCTTCTCTTGTAAGCACCTTGTAAAAGCGTCCCCTTATTTTAATTAAACAAAAATTATATAATGTAAAAAATTTATTCCATTCACTAGTCACATGTTGAATGCTCCAAATGTACATTGGTAGGAGCCAGCACACTGGACAGAACAGATAAAGAACTTTACCATGATTGCAGAAAGTCCCATTAGATAGCACTGTGATAAGCCCTGGCGTAATGTCACAAACAAGGTATTTGCTCAGTTAGTGTCTGACGATCAACATGGAGATCACATACTAAACCAAAGTCAAGGTTCGAAGACGCCTCTGAGAACGCAGCACGGCCACTGTTTTCTGTGTACCTCCCAATTTGCTTAAACTGCATAGCTTACCGGTTGTATCAGTTATCCAGTTTTCTAAAATATGGATATGAAGAACCTCACCCTTGTTGAGGACATTAATAGCTTCCAAGCACTGCCAGCCAACTTTGTGTAAGTTCTCCATTAGGAACCTGACATATTTCCTAACTGAATTCTCACACGGATTTAGATCTACATATAAGGCATATGTTCTTTTAGGAGATGAAGAGACAAGCTCAGCAACATTACACATCTTGAAAGTTGCAACCACAAAGCTAATCAAAGTCAGAGTTTGGACTCCAACTTAGGTCTGTCAACTGACAGGGCAGAAACTCCACCGCACGTAACCCCCACTGTAGAAAAAGGCTCCATCTACAAAATCGTGTACTTAGGTTGTAAATAAATCCGTGGCACAGGAATATGTATGACAACAGATACTGAAACTTAATGTCTCAGATATATGTAATAACAGCACGCGAATGAATTAAGGAGAAGAAACTTCATTTCCGAAGAGATAAGAGGTACATTAATTCAAGAAAGGAATAGATTCATTCTTTCAATTGTAAAACAAAACTATCTTTTCCAAGAAGAAAAACTAAAAATGTTACTGTCTTTAAAGATTCTTTCTTCAGACGCCGTCAAACTCTTACTCACCACGTTGGGCAGCAAATGCCTGACTGGATGAAATGACTTTTGTTTGTTCTGGATTATACCTTGTACCTTCTGGAAAAATCACAAGATACATCTGCAGGACATAAAGGAAATTTGGTTTATTTTGAGTGAGCTTTGTTGTTACTGTTGTTAAACCTACTAGTGCTAAGAAAGTATTTCCTACAGCCAGAGAAAATGTCTATTCACTTACATGTGACCTTCATTTCAAGCAGAGCAACCACACTGCAACAAGTCAATTAAGTCTGAACACGGCGTAGACCGTATTTTAAATGCAGTGCTACATTCACTGGTAGTTCAGCCATGAAGAATCTAAAAACATTTTTAATTACATGCTAATACTTCACTAATTAAATGTAGGTCATGAAATGCAGACTCATACAAAGCCTCAATTACTCAGTTTTTTTCCTTGTCAAGATCCTGTAATATGTCATTTTTAGAAGTGCAAATTTTAGAAATCAGTATCCTTAAGTACCAACACTAAAAAGTACCTCATTTAAGGAAACCCATATACTGAATTTCTACCATGGAAAAGGTTCTAAGTGTCCACATTCAACAGCTTCACACAGAATTCCTATTTTACACAGCTCCTTTACTGCATTTTAAATTTTAAATTTTTTCTTTATAAAGAACCTCATTTGTTATGTAAACTGAAATTAAAATAATATAAAGAATATCAAGCTGGGTGTTTACTAAGTAATCAATTAGTCTAAGTTTTTACATTTACCTGCTTGGGAAAGTAAAAACAGAAACATTAAAATTATACAGCAAAACTCCTAACTTTAAGAACTGAATTACAAAAACTACATTAATAACTTTGAGAGCCAGAAGACAAAATTAAGACATTCATAGCAAATCTCTTCAAATACAAACAGAATACAGGAAAAAAGACAGGAGCTGATAGGAGCAAACTGTGTTCACTGGGTCCACTCCTGCCAGATCTCAGGCACCACTCAGACAATATCGTCCACCTCTGTACACATCTCATTCAGTCCTCATCGGGATGACTGTGATTATAAAGCTCCTACTTAAAAGCCTATGTGGGACAGAATCTTTTCTTTAGATACTGGTATAATGGTATCTGAAAATTATGCATGCTTTTTGTTCATTCACGTAATAGTCTTCAGAACCCAAGCCTAACTTAGAAATTAACAGATTATATTATATATCTTTATATTTCATAATGAAGTTTGATTAGATCTGTTAAGAAAATGTTAAAAAATGGGTAAAATTAGGAAAAAATGCAGAATTCCTTATTATATTCCAGCAACTAGAAAAAAAAGAGGAAGACAAATATTAAAGCTAGTTCTAAAAACCACACATTCATTTTCATGAAAATGTATTTTCTATCAGTAAGGTTTACATTCAAAGCCATGAAAGCAACTCAGTCATTTATAAATAAAACAATTATTTCAAAGGTTAATAAAATCTCATATGGTATTATTTGCTGTGTCTTAGATGTTTAATTTAAAACAACATTGACAACAAGAAAGCATGAATTCATTCAGAACTAATTCAGAAACTATTTCTTATATACTCATTATGTTCCAGGAACTACATTCAAGGTAACAACATATAAGGTCCTTCCCTTCATGGTCTTTGCAGACAAGTGAAGAAAAGAAACACATTGAACAGATAAATTAAAACATGTAATTACATATCATGATCTGATTGCAAAGAAAAAGAACAAGGTGTCATGAAGAAAAATGATGAGAGGGAATTTAGGAAGGGTGACAGGGCTGGGACCTAAAGAATGTGTAAAAGAATGGGTGCTTTTCCCTAAAGATGAGGAAAATGGAAAGGATTTCCCTCACACCAGTTCTAGTCAAGGCTGTACTAGGAGGTCTATACAGAAAATTTAGCAAGAAAAAATAAAAGTCATCAAGATTAAAAAGCACAAAGTAAAATTGTTATTTCTATAACAATGACATAATTGTTTATGTAGGAAATCCTAAGAAGTATATATTTTAAGTTTCTAGATAATAAGTAAGTCAATTATATACCTAGGTTTACAATTAGAAACTTAAACAATTTTTTAATGCCATCAACAATAGCATCCAAAACTAAAATTCTTAGGGAATATACCTGGCGAAACGTGTGCAAACATGTACATTAAACTACAAAACATACTGAGACAAACAAAGACCTACGTAAACAAATGTAGGCTCTGTTCATGAATCCAAAGATTCAATCCTGCTATATCAATTCTTCCCAAATTCATCTATACATTCAATGCAATCAAAATGAAAAGCCCACAAACTTTGGGAAGAAATTGTCAAGCTAATTCTATAATTCATATAGAAATGCAAAGAACCTAAAATAGCCAAAACTACTTTGAAAAGACAGAACAAATTTAGAAGACAACTACAGTATTTCAAAACTTATTATAAAGTGAGTTTTATTAAGACAGTATGGTACTGGCATAAGGATACACACATAGATCAATGTAACAGAACAAATGGTCCACTGATCTAGGGATAATACACACATTTATATTCAGTCTACTTATTTCAAACATTGGGGGAAAATAATCTTTTCTACAGTGATTTTAAAAAAATACTTCGACCTTACATCATATAAAAAATTAATTAGAACTACATCCTAGACCTAAATGTAAAAGCAAAACTCTCAAATTTCCAGAAGAAAACATAGGAGAACATCTTAGCAACACTGAGTTTGGCAAGGACTTCTTAAATAGGATACAAAAAGCAGAAATTATGAGAGAAAAAAATAAATTAAGCATAAAAGTATGTTCTTCAAAAGATACATATAAATTTATAAAAAATGTTTAAATGTTCTCAAAAAAGACAGTATTTATGAATTGGAAAAGGCAAGTCACAGATGCAAAAAACTTGTAGAGGAACATCCTCAGGAGTGACAGGCTGCCCTCATTTGATCATGCTTCACTTTACTGAGCTTCACAGAAACTGCATTTTTCCATTTGAAGGCTTGTGACTACCCTAATTCAAGCATCTATTGGTGCCATTTTGCCAACAGTATGTGCTCACCTCACATCTCTGTGTCATATTTTGGTAATTCTCACAATATTTCATGCTATTATATCTGTTATTGTGATCTGTCATCTCTGATGTTACTACTATAATTGTTTGGGGGGTGGTACCATGAATTGCACCCATACAAGATGACAAATTTAACTGATAAATGTCATGTGTGTTGACTGCTCCACTGGTGGCCCATTCCCCTGTCTCTCTCTCTCCTGCCCCTTTGACTTCCCTATTCCCCAAGACACAACAATATTGAAATTAGAACACTTGACAACCCAACCATGGCCACTAAGTGTTCAAGTGAAAGGAAGAGTTGCCCGTCTCTCACTTTACATTAATAGCTGGAAATGGCTTAGTGAGGAAGGTATGCTGAAAGCCAAGGCAGGCCAAAAGCTAAGCCCTTTACACCAAACAGGTTGTAGATGCAAAGGAAGAGTCCTTAAAGAGAATTAAAAGTGCTACTTCACTGAACACATGAATGATTAGAAAGCAAAACAACCTTATTGTTGGTACACAGAAAGTTTGAGTGCTCTAGATAAAACATCAAACCAGCCACGGCATTCTCCTAAGGCAAATCCTAATCCAGAGCAAGGCCCTAGCTCTCTTTAATTCCATGAAGGCTGAGAGAGGTAAGGAAGCAGCAGAAAAGGAAGTTAGAAGCTAGCAGAGGATGGTCCATGAGGCTTAAGGAAAGAGGCCATCTCTCCATAACATAAAATCGAAGTGGCAAGTACTGCTGTATAAGCTATAGCAAGTTATCCAGAAAACCCACCTGAAATAAAATAAAGATTAAACAGCAGATCTGGGATTGAAATCCAAATCCAATTTCAAAACCAATACTCTGATAGACCAGGCTGCCTCACATCTGAAAACAAACTTAAGTGAAAGTTGGAAGAAAAAGTGTAAGTCTCCATATTTGTGCCGTAAGTTTTACTAGCTCATACTCTAACAAAATGACTTCTAAAGTACAGTTATGTTTAACACAAATGTTTCATTTGCATCCACAAACAATAAGTACCTTATGAAAATACTGCACTGTCCCAGCAATAATTATGAAGATGTATTACTTCATAATTCATAATACAAATATACTTTTAAAACAAAATTCTGCATTTTTCAAATAATACTAATACCAAGTAAGAACTGATATGATCATGAAATAGACTGATGAGAACTATTAAGCCACATGAAAGCTGACTTCACAGGTTCTACCACGTCACTTTTTAATTCACCTTCAGAAACAAAAGAATCGCAAAGAACCTGAGCAAGATACGTCTTCTTTCACAGGGCTTCCATATTAAGAAATCAAACAGCCATCCAGATTCTTAGAAACCCGATCTGGGACAGTGACTCTGAGTGACAGTGCTCAGCACTGCCACTTGAGCCTGCCAGTCTGTTACCCACACTGTGTAGGAACATAAAAGGCCGGAATTTTGCCCACGAAACACAGGAAGGCTCTTCTGGTAGCCCATCATAGACTAGGTTATTCGAACCAACCTTCCTACTGAAAACAAATTAGAAAGCTGGATATAACATTATTTTAAAAGTATCCAAGAGTTGGCAAGATGTTAAGACCAAAATTCAGCAAACACAGTAAAGCAGAAGTAAGCATAAAACAGAACTTGGTCGTACAAGACTCAAACGGTGAGGGGAACAGAAACTGAAGCCCATGGACCTTCTAACAGAAACGTGAAGAGAGACCGAAAAGCAAAGGAAACACCAAAGGCTCCACTCTCAGGGTGAAAGTAAATTAGAGGTGAGCAGGTCTTGTGTGGATTTGCAACCCTGGCTGTACTGCCTGAATGGCTGGCTCAGTTCTCCTCCCACTCAGAATTTGGTTTTGGTGGGGTCCAGTTAAAACAGGTAGAAATGTTCTCTGGGTAGACACTTTCACCTGAGGCTTCAACTGATTTCTACAGACTTACCAAATACAACCAGCAGCAAGGGAAGATAACAAAGCAAAGTACCGTGAGCAAGAACCAGCAGAAAACAACAGACTCAGACAGGACTTCAGGCACTGAAATAACCCAACACACCTTTTCAATAATGCCTTTAACACTTAAAGAAACAAAGACAAGCTTGAAGGTTAAAACCAAAATAACAGATTTGACAAAAACCATATAGCACTTATATAATGAAAAACAATTACATTTTAAACACTGGAATTGAATGGATTTGTATACATTCTGGATTGTATATTAGAACAGAAAAAGGACATTAGTAGAAAACCTAGCGAAGTCTGAATAAAAATCTGTAGTACAATTAATAGTGTGGTATAAATGTTTATTTCTTAGTTTTGACAAATGCACTATGTTATGTAAGATGTGAACACTGGATATTACCATTAAAGCCAGATGAACAGTAAATAGGAACAATCTCTTCTTTTTGTGTACCATTTTTATAAATCTAAAATTTTCCAAGTTTTGAAATTTATTAACCAAAAATGGGAGGCTGAGCCATGAAGTATGTAGAATGCTGAAGGAATACTGCTCCCAGCCCTCTAGCAACAACACTGACAGTCCGTACATTCATGGCTTTTCTTAGACCCTTCAGAGAGCTGAAAGGGTAAAAGGCAACCAACTAACCCAAAGTCTAAGGAAAGACAGAAAACTCAAAGGTGAAACAAGATGCAAGCACGTGTTTACTTGAGGGCCAATGCTAACAGATACCAGCAAAACAGAATTTGGCTAAAAATTTTAACAATTTTGCAGAAAGCCAAGTATAAGCCAGTGGAACAGAAGAACCCCTGGGCTACAGAGAAGGAAAATGTACCACAATTCACAGGCTCTACCCACAGACCTTCTGTGTACTCATAAGAAAAGACAAAGGAAAACATACTGGGGTCAGGGAAGACTGGAATGTAGGCTCGTGGGAGGGGCAGCAGCCCTGCGGGAAAGGCTCATGGCCCAGCCCAGACCTTTCCTCTATCCTTCCTACAGAACAGCAGCCTTACATTGATGAACGGGGCAACAAAACCCTGCTTTCCATGTGAGGCTAGGGGATGAGAAGAGGGGAAAAGACTCTATAGAAGGCAGGAAAATACATCCTGGGCACAGACTTCCAGCCAGAAGCAAGGCAAGGTCAGAGAAGGCTCCACCCCCAAGATTCTCTTGAAGAATAAAAAGACACTTCCCTTCCTTCTCCTTCTACCACCAAACTAATGAGTTCAGTAACAAGTGTCAGAGAAGTACAGTGGGGAAAGGCACAAAGAGGAGAGCCAGTCTGAGGTGCCATGTGAAAATGCTGAGTGTGGAGCAGACACTGAGGAAAAGCTCTAGTGGGAGGATATCTCCCATCTACACACAAAGTAATGAGTGCTACAGAAACCTGAAGACCGTGAGAAAAAGTACAGTAGCAGAACCCAAATCCAGTGCAACTCCTGAGTGGACTGACTCAACTCCTCAACACTAAAGCCTGAGCAAAAAGACAAGTCTATCCATTTCCAGGTATCCAGACAACTTGCCTCCATCTCTATTGTCTTACAAAAGAGGCTCAGCTTTCAGCAAAATCTTAGGAAGTATGACAAAGGCAAGATAAAGCACAATCTGAAGAGACAAAGCAATCAAAATTTCCAGACTCAGATATGGCCCAAATGTTGGAATTACCAAGCAGGTAATTTAAGATAACTGCAAGTATAATAAAATGATAAAGGTTCAAGTGGAAAAAGTGAATAAGCTTTACGGTCAGATAGATATTCTCAGCCCAGAGACGGAAACTGAAACAGAATCAAAGGGAAATGCAGGGAATGAAACACACCGTAACAGAGAGGAAGAGCGCCTCCAACTGGCTCATGAGCAGAGTGAGCAAGGCCAAAGGAAGAATTCGTGAACTTGAAGATGGGTCAACAGAAATGATCCAAACTGTAATGCAAAAGGAAAAAAGGGAGGGGGCATAAGACAAAACAAACACAAACAATGCATCCAAGAACTCAAGCACAGCAGCAAATGAGCCAACACAAACAGAACTGGAGGAGAAAAAACAGAGTAGGAATAATATTTAAAGAAATAAAAGCAAAGAAATTTCCAAAATGAACAACAGGCACCAAATCATAAATCCAAGCTCAGAGGACCAATCAAGGTAAATTTTTTTTAAATGGCACTCAGATATATGATACTTAAACTGCTGCAAACCATAAACAAGGAGAGAAACTCATGAAGGCAGCTAGAGAAACAGAGACGCATGACAAGTGTACAGAGCTGATTTTCTCAGTCCTAGCGCTATTGAGAGCTACATTTTTGGGGCCAAAAAAGCAAGGGGTCACTGTGTATGGAACACCAACATTCACACAAGAGGTAGCTATCTCTGTTCGCTTCATATATACAATTTCCATAGCAGGACACAGAAGAAACTCCACAGCAGTCTTTTGTGGCTGGGTGACTGGACAGCTGGGAAAGAAGTGGGATGGACGTTTTAAAGCATAAATTCATGATTATTAAATTTTAATGTTTTGTAAAAGGTTGCTAAACATATTACCAACCCATTCTGTCTTTTGGATATCTACATACAATGCCACAATTCTGCCCAAATTCACCACACTGTTTCAGACTAACCAGACCCTTAGAAGACCCCAAGCTTGATTCTCAAGGCTGAGCTATAACAGGGTAAAGGGTTACCACGCATCTTATTCCATTCTGCTTCTGTCACCCCACACATGCTCAGAATAGGATGCAATGTCCTGATGTAAACACACCTAGAAGAGGCACGTTAATAAACAATGCTCACACCGGGCACTTAACCAGCTGACCATGAAGAACTCTTTCTTCACCATGAGCTCCAACTGCTGCCCAGGACCCCCAATGAAGGGAGGGCAAGAGGAGAGGAGGGAAGATGGAGGGAGGGAGCAGGAGAGGAAAGGGAAAGCCTGTGCACATGAGCTAAGCTTCTGAGCACATGTTATGCCCTGAAAGAGAAAGCCCAAGTAGTCACGTACTCATGGTGCTTTGTCTTAGGGAGGAACCATGGGAAAAGCCATTGGCAGCAGTCAGCATTCTACACATGGCAGATTCAACTCCCCCCACTTTTGTGGAACAAAGTTTTATGAAATATTATTTACACTGAATGATTTGACATTTGTCCATATTCACAGTTTTTGTTTTTTCTGTATATGTAAGACATTCCAAATTTACACGGACAGAAAACAGCTGCTGCTTCTAAAACTAAATCTGATACTAAAGACAACAAAATGAGCTCTTAAAGTACTTAAATGTCAGGTTAAAATGCAGTTAGCCCCATTTAACAGACTGCGAAAGACACCAAATGCTCTCTTTATTCCTCTTCACACTGGCCAGCAAAGGACCTCATTGTGCAATCTTTCTGATGGCTGAAAAACCGGCTTTCCTCTATTTTAAACGTCTCTGTTACCTCAGCATAACTCTGAATTAGTATTGAGACATGGGAAAATACATTTTCAAAACAATTCTTAGATTTTAATTTAATTCTTAAATGCAGAAACGGAGAGTTGTAAGAACAGAAGTGGGCAGGCGCTTACTGGAGTTCCTGCGTCCACGTAGCTCTGCAGCTTGTTTCTCATCTCTTTCTCATTAAATTTGGCACTTCGCTTTACATAGATGCCTCCGTGCTGCCACAATACAAACGGGAGAAAGAAGGGTTTACTTTTAAAATAACGACTGGCCGCAGTCATCAAAAAGTACAGAACACAAACTACATTTCAGAATTTAATCTATATTTAGTACCTTCAAATATTAGCTTCTAAAGAACATTCAGCTGAAAATTACCCGGTCTCAACGTAATTCAAGAAAACTGCATGTGACACTGTACTGGAAAATATATAAACTCTATTTTTGTTGGCAGTTAAAATGAAAATGCTTTCTTTCTTAAATATACATTTTTAAAAATAAAAAATGTGATCAATCAGATGGATTTAACTCCCAATTTTTCCACCCACTTATCACGGTGTCACTAAAAAGTGTCCTTAAAATGTCAATACTCATGGTCTTTAGGTATTTTTTTAAAAATCAGTCCTGCTACAGATATCTATGTGGCACTGTTATGGACAGAACTGTGTTCCCCCAAGTGGGTCTACTAAAGCTCTAATAGCTCCCACTGTGACTGTATTCAGAGAGAGGGGCTTAGAGGTGGCAATAAAGGTTAAAAAAGGGCCTACGAGTGGGACCTTAGAAGACTTTGTAGAAGAATCAGTCATCCAATGTGACTAGTCCTTCTAAGAAGAGGAAGCAATGCCATGGCTGCTTGGGCACAGGGAGAAAAACCTCATGAGGACACAGGAAGAAAGCTGGCTGCTGCCCGCAAGTCAGAGAGAGAGGCTTGGGGAGACTAACCCTGTCAATACCTTATCGTTGAGGTCTAGCCTCCAGAACTGGAAAAATAAGTTTCTTCATGCTAAGCACTTTATATATATCACTCACTATTTTTAAAATATCATACGGATGACTAATTACTGTTAACAATAGTTTCTTAATGTAATTGTGTATCAAATTCTCTGTCTTTAAATTTCCTATTTGTTTAATCTTTGTACATTTGCATTTTTGCCCTTTCATTTACTTTTACTGCAGCTGGCCCTTCATTTCCATGTGTTCCACATCTGCAGATTCAACAGCCACAGATCAAAATATGTGAACAAGTGAAAATAATATAACAAAATCATACAAGTAAAAATATAAAGTATAACGACCATCTACATGGCATTTCTAATGTATTAGATATTATAAGTAATCTAGAGATGACTTAAAGTAGTCCGTAGGTTACATGCAAATACTATGCCGTTCTATATAAGGGTCTTGAGCATTACAGATGTTGGTCTGTGGTGGTCCTAAAACCAGTCCCCATAGATGCTGAAGGAAAGTATATCAATAATTAGACAGGTACATAAATATATACCACTAAAAAGACCAATTAAAATTACTCCAATTGAGAATAAACTATTAAACCCATTTTAAAAACCACACATTTACAGTAAGTATATGTTAAATTTTAAAATATAAAATAGGGCTGAGTGTGGCAGCTCACACCTATCATCTCAGCATTTTGGGAAGATGAAGCAGGCAGATTGCTGGAGTTCACGACCAGCCTGGGCAACACAGCGAGACCCCATCTCTACAAAAAATACACAATGTAGTCGAGCATGGTGGTGGGCACTCACAGTCCCAACTACTTGGGAGGCGGAAACAGGAGGTTCACTTGGGCTCCAGAGGTCAAGCCTGCAGTAAGCTGTGTTCACACCACTGCACTCAGCCTGGGCAACAAAGTGAGCTGTCTCCCCCTCCCCCCATCCCCCCAAAATTATAGACTACATCTATAGAGAAAAGCATGGAAACAAGTTACCTGAGAAAAATAACACCCATACAACGGCAGCCATTTTAACCCATCTTTCAGCACGTAGCGCACATGTCCAAGCGCATTCTGCCTTATGGCCAAGATGTCGGCAACAATCCAGTCAACTGCAGAGACAGGAGCCCGTGAGTGCATACGTGAGCTCTCCACAGGTCATACTGGGAATACGCTTTAGAGTACTGTGATTAGGATGTTTAAAATGTCTTTAAATCAACCCCAGGTATTTAAAAAATATAAATATTCTGTTGAGTTTTGTTTTGTTTTGTATTTCTTGAAAAGGTTTTAGTTTGAAAGATAAAACACAGTCACAAAAGACGTAAATAATCCAGCAGCAGCATGTGCAGGGAATAAAATGAGCTTCTCTAATTCCTAAAGCTTACACAAACAGATTTTTTTAATGAGAAAGGGGAAATTATAAACAAAAAAGTGGCCAAATGTAACTGTGAACTGCAACTAAATATTGTGTGTGTGTGTGTGTGTGTGTGTGTGTGTGTGTGTGTGTATACATGTTCAGCAAAAGGCAGGGACACTTTATCTTTACTAATGAGTTTTTAGGACTTGGTACTAGGTTAGGATGGCAATCAAACAAAGGTCTCACATGCCTTACAACTGTGCTGGGTAGATATATGTGTTCCTTATGTAACCAAGTACAATGATCCCAGGCTGCTAATAACTATAGTTATATAAATATGTTATTAACAGAGGGTTGCAAAAACAAAGGTAAGATGATATAAGTTGATAACAGTAGCAACTAAAAACTTCCTAGAAGTTAGGTTGTTAGCTGAGCTTTCAAAAAGAGAAAATTCCCAACACAGAGTGGCCCTTGCCAAATTAAACAAACAGGAAGCAGCAAAGTGGGTGCAGAAGATGGGAAACAGAGGACACGTTTTTAAAGAGGAAATGAAGTGAAATTAACAGAACAAATGATAACAGGACAAATGATGGTCTTAAGGACCACAGAAACTTGGATTTGAAAGTAAATGGCTACAAACTATCTCTTGATGAGAAAGAAAACATAAAAATGAAAAGTAAGGGAGACTTCTCTAATACACAGATGAGCTCAATGATAGGATACTCCAAAAGAAAATTGTTAAGAATCTGTGAAAAGAATAGTCCTAGCATCACCATGTGCTCAGGCTAGTTTATGAAACTTTTGTTACGGCTCCCTGTAAGTAGAATGTTGCTTGTAAAAATTCTTCCCTATAGTGTATGATCCCAGAGACAGACACAGTCTGTGTTACGGGGTTGAGATACCTACACTACTTGGCTATCGATGATCACTTTTCTGTAAAGTATGAAACGTCCTGTTGAAGCCCTTTCCCTAGCTCCTCCTAATTTAGATCAAAGAAATAACTGATAGACGTATTTCTTTCTAGTCATGCCTCAGAAACCATATAATCAACCCTGTTATAACTATACCAAATACAAAAGTAAGCAGACAATAAACTCTTAAAACTAATTCTGTATGGTTCTGTATGGTTCCCAGGCTAAAGTACATCTTGGAAATATAGTTGGGGCACAAAGCTAAAAACCAGGTTTAGCATATTTTCCTGCAACAATTATTTTTTAAATTTTGGGAATTTAAAAAATGCATTTTAATTTTTAAAAGTGGTTTTATGGTTATTTATGGCCTCAGATGCACCTCCCAAGAACTTCTAAGAGAAAGTGTAAGATTTCCAAAATACATCATGTTTGTAATAAGCTGCCCTGGGCTATGCCCTTAAATTTGACTTACATGTCAAAGTAGTTTTAAGTAGTCAAAACATACAAGCTTCGTGTCACCAACATTTGCTATGGAATTATCTTTATTTCTTGTTTATTCCCAGCTATGTTTCAGATAGGATTACACTAGATTACAGATACTTTCTGACTATCCAAGTCACAGCTGAGATGATATGGCTTTGACGATAACTTCACATTTTATGTTTTTTATGTTCGGGCATAATTTAACTGAGATAGCAATAAATCTGGCTGGTGAGAAGCTTCCATGGCGATCCAGCCAAAGCAGTGTCATTGTTGCTATTAACTTGGAGGAGAGGAGCGGAAGGCAGTTAGGGGCAGCAAGTCTAATTTCCTCACCCCCATCCTCATGTTAGAGCAGTTCCCAACTGATGAGGACACTGTGGAGCCTAAGAGATACTGCACGTGCGGCACTTCCCAACCACAGATCCAGTGCTATGCTAATGGCTAGCTACGACTGTCATCACAACCACTTTTAAAGGCCAGGTCCTCCAACGGGATGAGGAGATAGCCTCTGTAAAGTGCCTAAAAGGAGATATCACTCACGCTTTACCAATAAGCCTCTGAGAGATAAGTAATTGGCCCACTGACAACCAGCCTATCGCAGAACAGGAATCTGGGTCTCTCTGATTCCAAAGTTCATGCCTTTTTATAACACTCTACTCACTATGCATGCTGTTCAACAAGAAAAGTGACATGTAAGCCAAGAAAAGGGAGCATTTCATGAAATTAAAATGGCAAATAGGAGGTCGAGCGTGGTGGCTCATCCCTGTAATCCCAGCCCTTTGGGAGGCTGAGGTAGGCAGATCACCTGAGGTCAGGGGTTCAAGACCAGACTGACCCACATGGTAGAACCCCATCTACCAAAATTAGCCAGGCTTGGTGGCGGGCACCTGTAATCCTAGCTACTTGGGAGGCTGAAGCAGGAGAATCGCTTGAACCTGGGAGGTGGAGGTTGCAGTGAGCTGAGATCATGCCATTGCACTCCAGGCTGGGGGTGACAGTGCAAGACTCCATCTCTAAAAAAAAAAAAAGGCAAATAGCATCAAAAGTAGGTATTTGAAGGATGAGGGAAAGGAATAACAGCCACTACATCCTGCTGACTCTGGAGAGAAATAAGTTCACAGAATGCAGAGACAAGGATGTGCTAAGCAAGAACATGGGAGGAAAGAGACTAATTTAAATGTCAGTTCTTCTGAACACCAGGCCAGGAAACTCATTTATTCTGGCAACCTTGGCAGAAGACAAACTAGAAAGTCTAAGCAGAGCAGCAGTCTTTGAAACGTTCTTTCTGCTAATTACATTTTCAGAGATACTCCGCTGTGACGCCTAACATCTCCAAAGGGTTGTAAATAGGTACCTAAACATGATCGGACAATGAACCATGTCTATGGCTAGGCTTTACGGGTCTCTGAAACCCTAAAACTGCATGCAAAGTTTTATATGCACATTTTTCCTGGGAAAAGGCTCCATCATATACTGACTAAAGCCTGTAATTCTAAAGAAACTTAAAATCACTCCCCTGATATTTTCCCAAGTTACGGAATTTTAAAAGGCTTTCAAAAAGCAGCCTTCCCAAATCCTTCTGGTATCAGGATCTGGTGCCAGAGCCATGAAGGAAAGTCAGAGGCGCTTGGAACTAGTGGAAAGGGAAGGGGAGTGGGTCTCTAATCTGATCAACGAAACTCAGGTCAGTATGGTCTCAGTACGAAGATTATCCTTCCCATACGACCTTCTAGTCCCAAATATAAGTATAATTGTGTTTTTTAATCTGCTGCTTTTTGATAGATATTTTCTAGAAGTCCTCAATCTGAAGGAATATACATAAAAGCCAACATGCAGTGAGCACACGAATCAACAGAAATTGTATTAGAAGTAGCACTGGTGGGTCAAAGTGTATATACATTTTACATTTCTGATTGATGAGCTGCAGAAAGGTTTTATTAGTGTGTGGGTGCTCATCTCTTTACCAATGTCTGCACTTCCTTCGCTTCTTCAAATGTGTTTGGTTTAATTCTAGTTTGCTATTGTTCTATCAGAGGAATTGCAGAAGATGGGTCTTTAAAATAGTGCAGTATATACTTTAGGTTAAGATACTTGTAAAAACCTTTTTAAGTAAGTCTCAAGAATTTGCAAAAATAGTACATTGAAACCTATGACCCTTTCAGCAATATTTATCACTATCAGCAACACTTACAGGAATGTTCATAGAACTCACTCCATAAGTCCCTACTAGAGGGTTCTGTTAAGAGAGCAGAGTTTATACTGAAACCTGGACAAAGAAACGTTGGCAGCGAAACTAAACAACGAATCTTAAGAGAATCCTGTTAAACAGAAAGACAACTCTATGTGAAATTAACACTGGATCAATATAAAGGAAATGCAGGAGAATCAAAGCTATCAAGGGCCATTTCCTGTGCTGGGACCGCAGACCCTTTTTATTAGATACTGAAACCCTGGTAGAAACATCCATCAGCAGCAGGACAGGAACAGCAGAATGGTGTTAGAAGTAAAACGGCCAATATGTCTGCATGGGCCAGAGTTCTCAGCAGCACTGACGGGTGGTTGACTGTTTTGCTATTTTTGCCTAGAGTGAAATGTAATTAGATAAAATAGCCTGAACAAGTCATGTAATAAAGTTGGGGAAAATACACAGATACATGAAAATTCCTATCAAACCCCTGTTGATAGGAATTGTCCTATAAATCTGAATGTAATCATTAACTCACTAAATTGAGAAAAATGCATTTTAACTTCTTTTACTTTCTATGCCTCAGCTGTGCTACAAGTACTAATAAAAACCACAAAATCATGAAGAAACAGCTGACAGAAAGAAAATAAAGAAAAGCCACAGGCAGAAGTGATTTTCCCTTAAGAGTACTATATTGATCAGGCTGTTTTTAGCTTTTTTAAAATAATAAAAGTGGAATTTAGGAGGTATGCATCAAAAGTAGCTACAGGTTTGAAAACATAAGAAGCGGGATTTTGGGGGATCTGAATTGTTTGGATAATTAAAAAGTACCTTACCCAATGACAATTTTCTGATTCTGCCACTGTACTACTGTTGTATTAAGATGTCACCTTTGGAAAAAATATTGCTGAAAGGGTCATAGGATTCAATGTACTGTTTTTGCATATTCTTGAGACTTACTTAAAAGGGTTTTTACAAGTATCTTATATACTGCACTATTTTGAAGACTAGTCTTCTGCAATTCCTCTGATAGAACAATAGCAAACTAGAATTAAACTAAACACATTTGAAGAAGTGAAGGAAGTGCAGACATTGGTAAAGAGATGAGCACCCACACACTAATAAAACCTTTCTGCAGCTCATGAGTCAGAAATGTAAAATGTATATACACTTTGACCCACCAGTGCTACTTCTAGAAAGATAACTTACACAAATAATGAGTACACTATTTAAAGAGCTAATGGGAGGAGGATCCAAGATGGCCAAATAGGAACAGCTCCGGGATGCAGTTCCCAGCAAGAACAATGCGGAAGGTGAGTGCTCACCACATTTCACTGCCCACAGACCAGTAGATTCCCGGGCTGAGAAGCACCACGAGTTTTCAGCACAGCTGTTTCAGCTGGTGCCATAGGTTGGCACACAGAAACTCACACAAATCTGGGCAGCTGTTTCAAGAGGCACATGGGAAGCCTGGGAGACAGAGCTGCCCATTCAACTGAAAGGGAAGGGGCAGATACAGGGAGCCAGGTGATCTGGCTTGGCAAGTACCATACCCACAAAACAAGCAATCTGAAATGCTCTGGATTGAGAGTTTCGCAGCAAACGCAGCTGGAACTGGGATGATCCAGCTCAGTGCAGGAGAAGGGTGTCCACCACTACTGAGGCAGTCTGCAAATACCCAGGCAGTTCACATGGCAGCTGAGCAGAGCCTGCAGCAGCTCAACAACATCTCCACTGGCAGATTGTGACTAGACTACTCCATGTAGGGCAGGGCATCTATGAAAAAAGGCAGCAGCACATCAGGAACTTATAAATAAAGATGACCTTCCCAGGACAGAGCACCTGGGAAAAGAGGTGGTTATGAATTCCACTGCAGCAGACTTAAAGGTACCTGCCCAGCAGCTCTGCACAGAACAGAGCTCCCAGAACAGCACTTGAGCTCCTCTAAGGAACAGACTGTCTCCTCAAGCAGCTCCCCAACCCCATATACCCAAACAGACACCTCGTAAAGGAGAGTTGAGGCTGACATCTGGCAGGTACCCTTCTGGGACAAATATAACAGAAGAAGAAACCAGCAATGACCCTTACCTTTCTGCAGCCCCCCCAAGTGATCCCCAGGCAATCAGGGTTTGGAGTGGACCTCCCGCAGCTGTGCAGCAGAGGGGCCTGACTGTTAGAAGGAAAACTAAGAAACAGAAAGAAATAGCTTCAACATCAGTAAAAACGATGTCCACTCAGAGACCCCATTCAAAAGTCACCAACCAACTACAAAGACCACAGGTAGATAAAGCCACTAAGATGAGAAGAAACCAGCACAAAAAGGATGAAAACACCAAAAACTAGAATGCCTCTCCTTCGCCAAGGGATCACAACTCCTTACCAGCTAGGGATCAAAGATGGATAAAGAATGAATCTGATGAATTGACATAAACAGGCTTCAGAAGGTGGGTAATAAACTTCTCAGAGCTAAAAGAACATGTGCTAACCCAATGCAAAGCAGGTTTCATCCTGGGGATGCAAGGCTGGTTCAATATATGTAAGTCTATAAATGTAATCCACCACATAACAGAACCAAAGACAAAAACCACATGATCATCTCAACAGATGCAGAGAAGGCCCTCAACAAAATTCAACAGCCCTTTATGCTAAAAACTCTCAATAAACTAGGTATTGAAGGAACATATCTCAAAATAATAAAAGCTATTTATGGCAAACCTACAGCCAATATCATACCAAATGGGCAAAAACTGGAAGCATTCCTTTTGAAATCCGACACCAGACAAGGATGCCCTCTTTCACCACTCCTATTCAATATAGTATTGGATATTGTAGCTAGAGCAATTAGGCAAGAAAAAAAAGGGTATTCAATAAGGAAAGGAGGAAGTCAAATTGTCTCTATTTGCAGATAACATGATTATATATTTAGAAGACCCCATCGTCTCAGCCCAAAATATCCTTAAACTGATAAGCAACTTCAAAAAAGTCTCAGGATACAAAATCAATGTGCAAAAATCACAAGCATTCATATACACCAATAACAGACTAACAGAGAGCCAAATCATGAGCAAACTCCCATTAGCAAGAGAATAAAATACTTAGGAAACAACTAACAAAGGATGTGAAGGACCTCTTTAAGGAGAATTACAAACCACTGCTGAAGGAAATAAGAGAGGACAGAAACAAATGGAGAAACATTCCATGCTCATGGTTAGGAAGAACCAATATCATGAAAATGACCATACTGCCCAAAGTAATTTAAAGATTCAACTCTATCCCCATCAAGTTACCAATGACCTTCTTCACAGAACTGGAAAAAACCACCTTAAACTTCATATGGAACCAAAAGAGCCCACATAGCCAAAACAGTCCTAAGCAAAAAGAACAAAGCCAGAGGCATCAGGCTGCCTAACTTCAAACTATACTACGAGGCCACAGTAATCAAAACAGCATGGTACTGATACCAAAATAGAGATATAGACCAATGGAACAGAACAGAGGCCTTGGAGGCAACACCACAAATCCACAACCATCTGATCTTTGAAAAACCTGACAAAAACAAGCAATGGGGAAAGGATTCCCTGTTTAATAAATGGTGTTGGGAAAACTGGCTAGACTTGTGCAAAAAGCAGAAACTGAACCCCTTCCTCACACCTTACACTAAAATTAACTCCAGATGGATTAAAGACTTAAGTATAACAACTAACACCATAAAAATCCTAGAATAAGACCTAGGCAAAACCATTTAGGACATAGGCAGGGCTAAGGACTTCATGACTAAAACACCAAAAACATTGGCAACAAAAGCCAAAACAGACAAATAGGACCTAATTAAACTCCAGAGCTTCTGCACAGCAACAGAAACAATCATTAGAGTGAATCGGCAACCAATAGAATGGGAAAAAAATTTTGCAATCTACCCATCTGTCAAAGGGCTAATATCCAGAATCTACAAAGAACTAAAACAGATTTACAAGAAACAAACAAATAAACTCATCCAAAAGTGGGCAAAGGATATGAACAGACACTTTTCAAAAGAAGACATATATGAGGCCAACAAACATATGAAAAAATGATCATCATCACTGGCCATTAGAGAAATGCAAATCAAAACTACATTGAGATACCATCTCACGCCAGTTAGAATGGCGATCATTAAAAAATCTGGAGACAACAGATGCTGGAGAGGATGTGGAGAAATAGGAACACTTTTACACTGTTGGTGGGTGGTAAATTAGTTCAATCACTGTGGAATACAGTGTGGCACTTCCTCAAGGACGTAGAAATAGAAATTCCACTTGACCCAGCAATCCTATTACAGGGTATATACCCAAAGGATTATAAATCGTTCTATTACAAAGACACGTGTGCGAGTATGTTCGTTACAATAGCAAAGACCTGGAACCAACCCAAATGCCCACTGATGATAGACTGGACAAGGAAAATGTGGCACATATATACCATGGAATACTATGCAGCCATAAAAAATGATGAGTTTGTGTCCTTGTAGGGACATGGATGAATCTGGAAACCATAATTCTCAGCAAACTGACACAAGAACAGAAAGTCAAACACTGCATGTTCTCACTCATAGGTGGGTGTTGAACATTGAGAACACGTGGACACAGGGAGGGGAGCATCACACACTGGGGTCTGTTGGGAGGGAATAGGGGAGGGACATTGGGGGGCAGGGTGGCTGGGGAGGGATAACATGGGGAAAAATGCCAGATATAGGTGATGGGGGGATGGAGGCAGCAAACCACATTGCCATGTGTGTAACTTTGCAACAATCCTGCATGTTTTGCACATGTACCCCAGAACCTAAAGTGCAATAAAATACATACATATATATATATAATGAAATTTTAACCAGAGCACTAAAAAAATAGTAACAATTAAAAAAACAGTAACAGAGAAAAAAAAAAGAGCTACACAAAAAGAAAAAACTAAGCAAGCAAGAAAATAGCTTACTTACATCCAAGGTAAGTTTAGGAAAATTCATAGCTTTCATGTTTCTGACTGTCCAAAAAGTAAAATCACAAAAATACAAGAACAGGTGTAATACCTGCATAGAAAATTCATGTTTTAAAAAGCCCACTTCATTTAAATATAAGAATGGTATGTTGAATGCCCATGTGCCAGCTGCAGAAAAATCTGTTTCATGCAAATGAAATACAAACCTGTGCTTCGATGATTTGCTAAATATATTATATTTTCTTTATTTTTTGGCAAATCTCCATATAGCAATATCTACAAGATAAAACAAAAAAAATTACTTTGATATTTTAAAATATCTACAACTGTAATACACAAAGACAATGTGAAGAAATTGACAGACAAATGATGTTGTGAATATTTCCATCCATGTTAGACAAAAATTAGATTTCTCACAGGAGCCTCAGAGATCATAAATAGCTCATATACACAAATAGTTATGTATAGGACAGGTTAATGGTCATAAATTAAAATAGAATAATCAATATCCTCATGAGAAAAATATGGCAAGCATTTATTGATTGCTAACAATCTATAAAACACTGATCTTAAGACAAACCGTCCTTCAAAGAGCCTACAACCAATCTAGTAAAAGAGACAGACATGTCTTCAGGAACTGTAGTAAGACATCACACAAATACTATAAAAATACAGTACTTCTTCATGTTTTAAACTTTGTTTTTTCTTTTTGCAGGAAACTAGAAGGACACACAACCTTTTTTCATTTTAAAGAACTGTAAACTGCAGAGCAGAAGGATTATCACGAGGTGGAATTCTGGCAGATGAGATGAAGGAAAACATGCATGAAAATAAGAACGAATGGAAGCAGTGATGCTGGAGGCCTGCTGGGTACACAGGCAGTGTCATGGGTGAGGAGCAAGGAGAATGGAAGGGTGGCTCTGAACCAGAATGCCAGAAGTCTTTTGAATTACATGCTAAGGATTAAAACTTAGTCTGTAAGTATGAGAAAAACACGGTTCCATGGTTAGGACTCACTTCATCTCCACCAAGAACAGAATTCAAGAAAAGGGCAACTTCCAGTATGAGGGAGGAGCTGGTGAGAAGCACGCAGTGGGCTTCTGGTCCACCAGCCAGTTTATTTTTAAACTAGGTGGGGGTACACATGTGTTCAATGTACCTCTGTTAGTCTGTCTGTTGTTTTGTGTGTCTTACATATTTTAAAATCAAATTTTAAGGAAACTGGGAGTACACTTGTAAAGACTTAAAAGGAAATGGCTGCTAACAGTGTTCATTCAGGACATTTTTGTTTCTGTATCTTGTCATTATGGATTATGCATGATTATAAATTAGCTAAGAATTTTTAGGTCTATTTTTTCCATAAGTATTATCTTTTGGTTGTGACACCATTTATTAATATCTTAAAAAGAAAAAAAAGAAAGGGACAATTAACCCAACAACTTTGTAGATAAATGCACCTAGATAATACAAAGTTCTGGAAGCCAGGGATGTGACTGAGGTTTCCATTACTTTCCTTAGAAACTGCACAGTGCTATGTACATACTATGCTTAAATATTTGCCCAATGAGTTTTTATTAATAAAGTTTATTGATGGCATAAATTAGTAAAACCAATAATTTGATCTGTTCAGAGTTAAAAGTGACATCCTGGCTTGTGAGTAAATCCCCATTCTCTTACCAACAAGCCAGAATTGTGTCAAGGCAATTGCATATGCACTGATTTAAAAGTTTTGCACAGGACAGGCACGGTGGCCCAGGCCTACAATCCCAGTGCTTTGGGAGGCTGAGAAGGAGTGGGTAGGCAGGGGCAGTGGGGCAGGGTGGGAAGATCTCTTAAGCCCAGAAGTTCAAACCCAGCATGGGCAGCACAGCCAGACTCTCTCTCTATAGAAATATAAGAAGATTAGCCAGGGATGGTGGTGAGCACCTGCCCATAGTCCCTCAGAAGCATCCAGAACACATTGGACACCTAATGACAAGTCCGTAGCCCTTATGGCCTATGCACTCTCCATAGCCTGATCAATCTTCTACCCTGAGAGCCTAGCACCAAGCTGGTTTTTCACAGATGTTTACTGAATTATTGTTTACACTTTTGTTGCCAGTAGGTAAAGCTATATCTCATTTTTAACATAAAGGTAATTTCAGAATAAACACAAATAAAATCATTTAAGAGGACCAGTGACTTTTTAAAGGCATCGTTCTGTAAATCTAGCACTCACTTTTAAAATCACATTAGTTGCTTCTACAAATGTATCCTGCAGATAATTTGTCACTTCAAAACAAGGCACATGAAAACAAATGGCTTTTCCTTTTGCTTTTTGTAACTCTTTAAGTAATTTTAAGTTCATTATAATTGCTTCTTCGTGATTATTTAATTTTAGCTTCACCAGTTTTTAAGAACTCATCACACATCCCTTTATAGAAAAAAAATTCTCTTCCATTGATTAATTCAGAGGCTGCCAATAAAAATGATATTTGAACAATTATGTTAATTGCAAATGAAAAGCTATTCTGCTTTAGTCAAACACACTTATTCATCTTGCACAAACTGGCTTTCACAAGAAGACCTGGATTGGACGTGGACTAGTTTCACCTCACCTTGATCACAACTGTGTTAATTTGCTTCTATGATATGTAAACTGCCTAGTGACTCTTTTCATCTTAAAAACAGGTAGGAATATGGAATCTAAATTGATCACATGCTTAACAGCATAGCCTCCAAATTACAATGTCTTTTCTAAGAATTTATATTATATTCTTTATATTCTTCATTTATCTCAATAATGTCCATTTGCCTTCTGCATGCAAAACTTGAAATGATTTTTATTTTAATTTTCATTGTCAGTAAGTATAGGTGATGCTGTTGAAAGGGATCAGAGAATACGTTACACCAAAACAAGCTACTTTGGCATAAGGATTATATTGAGCTGAAGGCAGCTGAGAAATAGCAGATACAAGATGAGTTCTCTGTCCTCCCCTAACTGCCTAAGGCATGGCATAAATTTGCCTGTGTAAAGGTGATATGAATTTCCATTGGTAAAGGTGTTTCCCTGTCCCTTATTGGGAGACCAGAAACTGGCAACATAAATCTGCACAGCAAACCTTATTACTATACATTTCCTAGTCATCTTCCCACAATTCACCACCCCGGGAGCTGAAACTCTCTTTTCCTTTGACTAGTCACTTCTTTATAATTTATCATCCTTTGTTAAAATCACATACAAACCCCCTTTAGCCAAGCACAGAGGGGCACACCTACAGTCCCTGCTACTCAGGAGGCTCAAAGAGAAGAATTGCTTCAGTTCAGGAGTTTGAGTCCAGCCTGGCAACATAGCAAGCAAGACCCTGTCTCTTCAAAATACAGATAAAAATAAAAATAAAACCCTCCTTTGAGTTTAATTTATTTCCCAAGGACCTTGTGCATGTAAAAATATTAACATCAACAAAATGGGTACTTCTCATCTCCTGTTAATCTCTTAATTCACAAGCCCTAGCTACCCCAAGAAGGTAGAGGAACAGTTTACTCTCCCCTATGCTATAATGTGAGAGCCACTAAGAGGTAGGCTCTAAAGCACTGGACTTGAATTAAGACTTGAATTTGAGTCCTTATCTATCACCTTACGGTGGGAACTTGGGCAAAACTCCCAACCTCTTCGTACCTATTTCTTTGCCTGTAAAATGAGTGTAATAACAGTAACTGCCCCTCCTAGGGCTGTAGTGAAATAAGCAAAACCATGTAAACTACTTCACACAACACATAGAACATAGTAACCATCTAAAATATGTTAAACTGTCATTATTATTATCCAATGACATGGAATTTTTTATTACAAACTGTGTTAAATGATTAATGGATAGGAGAAAGAGCTAGTCTATCTCTCCCCACAATAAGTCTTTGATTACACAGATGTACAGCTATAAAGAATTTCAATTTGAATAAGATTACATATACAGTTACACTGTTTATAACCTCTTGAACTTTTAAATGTATTTTTATGCCAACAAAATATATTACCAGTTAATCATAAGGTTTCTGCTGTAAAATATACAAAAACTAGTCCTTTTCTACCCAGTTTAAAACATTTAATTGAATAGTAAAATTATTACTCCCTTCTGAAATAAGATCAAAATAGCAAATAGCTACTTACCCAATCAATAATCAATAAATACAATTATCATGCAATATTTAAATGGAACCTAACAGATGACAACGTTCTTTTCTTCCTTTCGCTTTCCTTAGCAAAGCCTTCATTAAGCTTTCAAAATAGCACATCACATGCAAAACTGTTCTGACTAGGTGTTTGGACCATCATGGCTTACTACTCTCGCATTGTTCTTACCATGTCTAGTGAATAAACTGGCTGACTGCATTCAATGAGACACATGGCTGTTTCCATAGTAATCATAATGATAAGAACCCTGGTTCTTCCAACTCCAGCACTGCAAGAAACAACAATGGGTTTTTCCTTGGGGCCCTTTTATTTTGTACATGACAAACAAAACCCAGAGAGTCACTGAATTACCAGGGTCTCCATGGTCAGGCCAACCTATGTAATGGAATTGAGTGATGGAAGACTCTATCATGTTTCTCTTGGTTAAACAGCAGTGTGATCTTCCTGAAGATAAAGGCAGTGCTTCCTTCTGAATGGCAGATGGCTTGCATCCATAGGATGAACTTCCTGTGGGTTCTGGCCAACATTGGTATCATTTAACCCCGCCACATTCAACTTATATGGTCAACATTACAACCATGGAGGAGCCTTACTCCCAGGTCATCTGCCAAAAATCTGTTCCAGTTTGTGGTAATGCCCCTTGACAAGCACTGTTCTGATTTATAATGCTGGGATTGCACCCATGTAGTCTTCATCACCTTTTAAAATAACACGTGTAACACGATAAGGCAAACTACCTCTGTATTTTTGGAAAGATTCCAAGGTAATCTGGCAGCAGATATTGTCCTTCCAAGTTTTTTCTGATAAGTTGATCAAACTGTGTCAAGGCTGTTCCAGCGATAAGCCCTCGGCTAGCTGGATCATGACTCCCACAGGAAGTGATCATGCGGATGGACACTATCTAGTGGGGCTTTCTCCGGAGTGTACTGGAAGTCTGTCTCATTTTCCAGCATTTCTTCCACTACTTCATATGTAGCGTTAGGGAGAACTAGAAGCATGAGTTCCCCAGAATGTCACTCACAGTTAGGTTTAATCAGCAGGACAACCCAGTCATGGGTGTGTTCTGGAATGTCCCAAACACTGATCAATACAACTTGGTCTTCTCTTCATTCATTCGAGGGTCACAGAGGTAAAAGGTGTTCCTGGTGCTTCTCAGGACATGATCACAGACATCTTCTGATCATATCCCCTTTTATATGGACTCCAAACTTTCCACTTACCTCAGGTTTACTCTGATTAGAACAAGATTAGCATGCAGAATACCACCATTAGGAGTAGACTTTTTAAGAGAAGATGGAACATCAATGTTTCATTAATATGATCTTCCAGATTTTGTTGGAAATGTAAATAATGAATTTGGTTCCAACTGTTTTTCTTAGATTGTTTGGGTGGTAAAGCTGGAGGCTGTTCATCTCCAGGGGTCTCTTGTAATGGTGATGATTCCAAAATGATGCTATTAGCTTGTGCTGATAGTAGTGATCTCTGATTGACAAATACTTTGGAGGAAGTGTGAACCACATAGTCTACCAAATGACCGACTGAAGATGGTCATAACCAGGTTCCCTCTTGCATGAATGCAGAATTTTAATGATTAAGCATTCCTGTTCTAGGCGGCAACTGTGATGGAAGACTTCATGCTTCTAACCTTTTCACCAGATGTTGAATTCCTGCTTACTACTTCCCAATGCATTAATTTCCAAGTCAGTGGCTTACCTGACGACCCCTACAAGTAGTCTGTCTGCCTTTTCTTTGCCATACTGAACTAACTGAACTTCAGTTCTCCTACTGTGCACTAGGAATTTTGAACCGAATATAAAATAATGTGCAAAAAAATTCTTTCTAGTGGGAAGTGGTCTTCCCAAACAGAAGAATATGTAATGTTCTACACTTGCTCTCCACAAATTTTTACATGCTCTATAAGTCACCATATTAAATCCTGATCATCTTTCTCTAGATTTATGCAAGTCATTTTCAGAGTTGAACAAAAAACTGTTTGCACTTAAATTTTGACAATCTTCAACCCTGGAAAGGTACTCATTCATAACCTGTTATAAGTCAGAATTCTTCTGACGTCATTCCCATCATAATTTCATTGTTACTTTGATCCCTTGCATAGTGGAATTCAACTCCACAGAGGTCTAAAGTACTTGCTGTGTTTAGGTAATTAACTTCTGCTTCTCAGGGATATAAACATATGTTGCTGATGTAATTTTACAATTTTTCAAAAGTTTGAGGATGATCAGGAATGAAAGAATAACCTGACACGTGGCCTACCAAGTTCTCTGACTGTAGTCTTCAAGGTTAGCCTGAACAGCAAATGAAGCTCAAAGGGCAGCAGTATTGTAAAGACAGGGCAATCTTTCAGTAAGAATGTCTTGTTAAATTTGCAAAAAGTACTAGTACTGGGCTAACTGTGGAATCATCAGCCACCCGTAAATTACCTGTCTTGTTCAGTACAATCAAGATGCTTGCAGACTATATCTAACAGAACGTGCCACAGCTCATGTTTATTTGCACTGAAAGCTTACAGTGTTTTCCACAAGGATGTTACCAACCACCTCTGTAGGCTGTCTGTCTCAGGCCAACTCTGTGCTTGTATATTGTAGATTGTAGGTTCTGCCAGCAGGAACTTGGAAATGTGAGGTCATGACTGTATACACAAGGTCTTCATATCACAGCTGCATCCTCTCAGCTGAAGATAAAAAGCACCAAGGCCAGGCAGTGCTGGGGAACGGCATGTAAGCTCTACATACATGCTGGGGATTGCATGTGCAACCACATCACGCTGTGGAGCTGCCACGACCTGTGCCGCCCAGGAGGGCCATCAGGTTCTTTCTCATACACTCGGCATGCATGTATCTCTTGGTACTCCCCTTATTTTATATCCTATTTGTCTTTTGGTATTGTTCTTATTTTTGAGGGTGTGTTTTTTCTATGATGTACCAGTCACTGAGCTAGGCAGTTTCACATATTATCTCATTTTGCCTTCAAAATAACATGGCAAAAAGTATTCTATGTAATGATGAGAATCTTGAGATTAAGAATTTGACACTTACTCCAGATGACACACAGAATGGCAGAGAAATAGGAATTACACCCAGGTTTCTCACTCCAAGATCCCCAAATCTTTTGACTGTGACAAAACTATTCTCTGCAAAAATTTCAAATAAAAAATGTCAAGTGAGAAGGCTTCTCAAATATTAGAAGCTTATTTAATCTTTTTCACTTCTTATATCAACCACAGAATTATAAGGAACCCGTTAAAAAAGTAAAAACCAACAAAAAAAAATTTCCTACATAAACACAAATCAAGACCAGAAGCAACACAATAAGTAAGTGCACCAGGAGCTGGCATTCACTACATTACATGCAACTTTCAGGTGAACCACCTGCTTGTCTATGCAACAGCCCCCACCCAGTTAACCATTTGGACATAGGTGTATTCCTCCTTTATTTCCTCAGTTCTTTGTTAGTGACTTTAATTTGGGAACATCTCAGTATACATTCAAGTTTTCTTTTAAGTGACATCTTCTGGCACTGCTAAATTTTGTGTTACTTTAGGGTAGAGACTGTATTTTATCAGTCTAGAACATTAGCATCTATTAACAGTATGTGGTTAGCACTTAGCACATGGCTGGGACTTCGTACGACTCTCCGTTTCAGGTATCATCACCCTCAATTCTTTCTGCCCCTGTAATGCTCATGCCAAGATGGAGCACAGTAAAGTTGTCATCCAAATATTACTTACACTTATACACATACACAGTACTCTAAAATCTCCAAGCAACACATTCTTATTTGGGTTTTCATTTCTGGTGCCTACAGAGAAATAGAAGAAACAACATAAAACCTTGGAGAATTGCATAGGTTCAAAAACTACAAAAAGTACCGGTTTTTATTCACAAGTAAACCAAGGTTTCTCCATACTGCTGTCTGTTTGAGAATTTTTTTTATAACTTCTCTGGCTTTGCTCATTTTGCCTTACTCTTGAGGGTAGTTAATGTTTCTTCCTCCTTCATCTTTTTAAGGAAAGAATGAATTGGACTCACTAGACCTGTGTACCCTGTTAGATCAAAACTTACCAACTTGTAATGCCATTCAGGAATTTTCATCCCTTAAAAGTGAGATTCATCCACATTTCCACAAAAATACAGACTAGAATCCCCTAGAGTACTCCACCTTTTTACTTTTGAGACAGGGTCTCGCTCTGTTGCCCAGGCTGGAGCCTCCATCTCTCATGTTCAAGCCATTCTCCCACCTCAGCCTCCCAATTAGCTGGGACTACAGGTGCAAAACACTATGCCCAGCAAATTTTTGTTTTTGGTAGAGATGGGGTTTCACAACGTTGGCCAAGCTGGTCTTGAATGCCTGACCTCAAGTGATCCACCCGCCTTGGCTTCCCAGAGTGCTGGGATTACAAGTGTGAGCCACAGCATGCCCAGACTACTCTGCCATTTTTGTTAAAATAAAAAGTAAAATCAAGTCATTCTCCCTTTATTGCCATCTTCAAGAGGTTACAATGTTGCGGAGGGGATGATACATACATTAAAATATGCTAATATTGTTAGTGTGCTATCTGTTAATATTACATAAAAGTTACCCTGACACTGAGATGGGGTGAAAGCATGACAGATGGGGAAAAGCTGGGCTTGAGTTGGAATTCCAGAGAGGAACAGTCCAATGTGGGGAGGGAAAACCTAGACTAGAATGAAACTAAGGAATGGAATAGTTAACCAGGGCAGAACTTAGAGAGCCTTGAAGGCCATGCTTCAAACACTTCATGTTTATTATGTTATTAATTGAAAACCTCTTTTCCCTAAACATCCATGTTCAAAGTAAAAATCAGAGTAGTTCTTATAGGCTTTCCCACTAACCCAAGCAAAGAGTTACTTTATCTCTGTACAGCAAAGCTAATAAACACACTCTAATTTCAGTATTATCCTATATCGTAATTGTCAGTTCATGTCTTTCCTAGATGAATACCTTGAGAAATAGGGATCTCATTTCAAGCAATATAATCAGTGTCAAACAAAGCATCTTTAGAAAATGAATGCTCGAAACTCAACTGTCTTGCACTAAATCCTGGCTAGATTACAGATGTGAATCATGGGTACTCCCTTTCCCTTGTCGGTAAAAGAGGAAGAACGGTGCCTACCTTGTAAAGATGAAATTATTTACATAATAGAACAATACCTGCACACAGCAGCACTCACTAAATGCAACTGTGTTACTAACCCACCGTCTTCTTCTTCCTCCACGTTCAGTCACAAAGCCCTATCAGCTAGCTAAAAGAGATCTGGAATGCTTTTCAGTCTCGACGTCCACTCTTTCTACTCCCCTAACCATCATGTCTCGCCTGGATGACATTACCTTCCAAGCTTGATCTTTTACAGAGCTCCACACAAATGTCACTTGCTCAGGAAGATTTTCCAACCCCTACCTCTAATCCACCCGGCTAAATAACCTGGCACGGCACAGTGAATTTTAATTTCCTTGGTATTGTTTGTCTTCCCACACTAGAATGTGACCTCCATAATGGCAAGTACATTGTCTATCAAACATTGTATCTCTTAGTAGCCAGCACAGCACCTGGAACAATGTGCACGTGGGAACATCGCAGGGATTAAGGGAGTAACACTAGGTTCTAGAGATCCCTTACTGAAAAGTCACTACTTAGTACTGAGTTGTCCAACTACTAATACCAACCTCTAGGGAAAGAAACCATAACAAAATGAGAAAAGAGTCAAGGAAAAATTAACTTCTGATTCCACTTAAGAAGTGTCAGCTCCACAAAATTACACAAATTTACCAAAAAGGGAAAGTAAACTAGGTATATGTGGAGTGCTGTTTTTCCTTACCTTCCATCGTAATGGCACAGAGGTATCCCCAGTTACACGGGTGTATTTCATGCTTCTGCACTAAAAAAAAAACTCATCTAAGAAGTTCATTTAACTAAAGAATCTTACCACAACTCAAACACTTACTTAAATGCTCTTGGAAGAAATCTAAACTTACACATCAAACTGGTACATACCTGGGAAAGGTGTACGCAGTGCAGGAGTAAAGGAAACTTTAACTTTCTCAAAATATTGTGGCTTGATTTTGTATGTATATTTATAATTGCATCTGTATATAATTGCATGTATATATTGTATCTGTGATTTTAAAATAGAAAAATAAGGCATTAAAAACCTATACACAAATGCAACCTGAAATAACTGGTTTGTTCACAGAGGTTCATCTTTATAAAGTGTAAAAGTAAGAGTTCTAATTGCATTTCTCTAGGATGTTCCTATACGCCTAGTGAGTTAACCCACTCTCTAACCAGAATTTAATTGTGTTAGACTGGAACTGTATTTGACTGGGAAATGTTTAATTTCCTATAGTAAAAGTTTTTATTATTCTGCTTAAACAAGCAAATACAGAGGCACACCCAAACCTACACAGTCCTATTACTCTCGGCTAAAGTGAAGGAAGTAATTTAAGATCTATTTAAGGTCTTCACTGAATGATGAGTAAGCAGAGAAGAGTAAAATTAAGGATGCAAGCTACAATTCGTATTCTCATTAGGACTACAGATATTAGAGAAGACGCTGGGCAACGCTACAGCAGAAATGCAGAAAGAATACAGACGTGTCATAAAGGGGAGTAGTAGACTAGATCACTTGCAAGGTCCCCTCTCCACTTCTAAATAAGCATGTTTCATTCTGATGAAGGGCTCCTTTTACAGCCAGATTCAGAATACAAATTTAACTCATCAGGAAGTTAGGACTAGTTTGATAAGCAGTGCTACAAAGAGAAAGATCCAGTTATAAATGGTCTCTAGATGAAAAGCCTTGACTGTTTCTGAGGAACGTGGAACAATGTTTCAGTTAAGAGTATGAATCGGCTGAACATCAAGGTATGGTGAATCAAGGACAGATCACTTGAGCCCAGGAGCTTGAAACCAGCCTGGGCAACATGGAAAAATCTTATCTCTACCAAAAAGAAAAAAAAAAAACAAAAAACAAGAATTAGCTCAGCATGGTGCTGGGCACCTATAGGGAGGTGAAGTCAGGCTGAAGTGGGAGGACCACTTGAGCCCAGACACAGAGGTTACAGTGAGTGGGAATTGCACCACTACACTCCAGTTTGGGCAACGATGTGAGACTCTGCTTCAAAAAAAAGTATGAATCCTTAGACAAGTTAAGAGCGTATTATAGAAATGTCAAAATCTTAAATTCTTTATCTTCTTTCTTGTGTTTTTCAAACTATTTTATAAAGCAGGTCAACTGAAAACCTGTTTATCTTAAGACTGTGCATTTTATTGTTATATTACACTAGCATTTTGGGAAGGGGAGATTAGCAGTCAGAGTCATTTAATGTAAAATATATTTTGAAGTAAACTCCAAGTGTTACCAACTAATTTAAACAAGATAAATTGGTAATTATAATATTAATTAGAGGCAGGGCATGGTGGCTCACATCCGTAAGTCCAGCACTTACAGGTCAAGGCAGAAGGATCACCTGAGTCCAGGAATTCAAGACCAGCCAGGGCAACATAGCAAGACCCCATCTCTACAAAAACTTTTAAAATTTAGCTAGAAATAATGGCATGCCAACAGCTCGGGAGGATCACTTGAACACAGGCTTTCAAGCCTGCAATGAGCCATGATGGTGTCACTGCCCTACAGTCTGGGTGACAGAAGAAGACCATGACTCAAAAAACCCAAACCCCAAACTACTCTGTGTTGATAATTTTTTAGCCTACAAATTTCAATGATCAGTCTTCAGCGTATTTCATAAAAAGGGGGAAAAGAATTTTTTAAAAAAAAAGCAGCAAAGAAAAAAGAATTCTAACATTTGAAGACATTCTTTTAACTTCTAACAGCTTCATGAAACATGCTAAAAAGATTTTTCATTATTTATCATAAATATTACAGTTATTGTTTATGCAGCTATCTCAACATTTAGGATATATCTAGATCCCGAGGATAGAATTCTAGGCTATAAACTAACATAAATCTAGTTTCACTTCAACTCATGATGACAGAATTTAAGCTAATTTCATTCCTTTTTCATGAGTCCTACCCACTCCTTTGCCAGTCCTCCAACTTTCCTTTTAATTTCCCGTAAGTTTTCCTTAAACTCCAGCTCAAGGATACACACATAGCCTCTTATTCTGAGTATCAAAGCATTCCATATTCAAGTCACTTCCTATCCTACAGATAGGGCTTTTCAGTGGTAAACAAACCAAATACCAGTATATTCACCATGTTACACATAATAGTCTTAGCTTAGAAGTTATATTACCTTTAATTTATAAATATTTGTTATTTCTATATATATATCATATACATATATCATATACACATATGTATACCTAAATATATATCATATACATATATATTATATATATAAAATCATAAGACATAATTTCAGAATCAGTTAAGAATTAAAAGAATACCAAAATATGAATAAGTTGATTATTACATGGAATACAGACCGGTTCTGAAAATAGAAGTTAATCAAATGCTCTGTTAAAGGATATGTGAAGGTAAATCTGCAAATAAGAAACTAAGATTATGGGAAAGTCAGAAAACTTATTACAGAAAAAAGCAGGTTCGCTGTTAAAGAAAGCACAGACCAAAGTGATTTCATATGTAAATACCTAAAGCAATAAGGCAAGTTAAATTGAGAAGTAACTACAAAATACTGAATAGGTGGAACTATGGAGTTCATTATTGTGGTGAGTTGAATGGCAGCCCCTTTAAAAAATGTGTCCACATCCTAAGCCCTGTAGCCTGTGAATGTTTTCTTATTTGGAAAAAGGATCTTTGTAGTTATAATGAAATTAAGAATCTTGAGATGAAGAGATCATCCTGGATTATCCAGGTGGACTCTAAACCCAATGACAAGCATCCTTCTAAGAGAAAGGGAGGGTGAAATGTGAGACAGAAGAGGCCAGGGCCAGGATTGTGAGGCCAGGTTGAAATGACTCTGGCCCAAGCCAAGGAATGCTGCCAGTCATGAGAAGCTGAAAGACACAAGGAATGGATTCCCCGCTAGGGCCTCCAGAGGGAGTACAATTGAGCCTACACCTTGATTTCAAACCGTTGGCCTCCAGAGTCACGAGACAATACGTTTCTATTATTTTCAGCCACTTAGTTTGAAGTGATCTGTTTTGGCAGCCCAGGAAAGTAACACAAGTACTTGAATCAATGATCTGTACTTGGCAGGTAAACCACAGTTTACCTAGTACAGAGGTTTAAGTTGGTTTTCAAAAAGTCTTAAACTATGTGAAACACATAAAACTTATAAAATGCTTATTACTCATTCGACAGAAATAAATGGTGAAGAAGGTACCCAGTCAAGTTTCAGTACTAATGAGAGATTCTGAAAGGACCTAAAAGGATAAATAAGTTATAAAGAATAATTTAAGTAGCACTGACTGAAATATTTCTCTATCTCAGAGATACATATAAAAATAAAGTAGTGAAATTAGGGAAGAAAAAAAGATATTTACCTAGACTCCAAGGAAAATCCAGGTAAACTTGTTGGAAGCAGGTTTACATGCCAAGCACAGATCACAAATCTCATGGACCTACTATTTCTCTTTACCTCAAAAATTCTACGCAAAAGAAAATGTTCTGCAAGAACTACTATGAACCATTCATTTCTTTAAATGAAGGCTTGAAAGGCATAAAAATGTCATTAAATTGGGAGGCCGAGGTGGGTGGATCACGAGGTCAAGAAATCGAGACCATCCTGGTCAACATGGTGAAACCCCGATCTCTACTAAAAATACAAAAAATTAGCTGGGCATGGTGGCGCGTGCCTGTAATCCCAGCTACTCAGGAGGCTGAGGCAGGAGAATTGCCTGAACCCAGGAGGCGGAGGTTGCAGTGAGCTGAGATCGCGCCATTGCACTCCAGCCTGGGGAACAAGAGCGAAACTCCATCTCAAAAAAACAAAAACAAAAACAAAAAGAAAATGTAATTTCAGAAACACTAAGTTTTACAGTCATTTAAAAAAATAAGAGGCCGGGCGCGGTGGCTCAAGCCTGTAATCCCAGCACTTTGGGAGGCTGAGGCGGGTGGATCACGAGGTCATGAGATCGAGACCATCCTGGTCAAAATGGTGAAACCCCATCTCTACTAAAGATACAAAAAATTAGCTGGGCATGGTGGCGCGTGCCTGTAATCCCAACTACTCAGGAGGCTGAGGCAGGAGAATTGCCTGAACCCAGGAGGTGGAGGTTGTGGTGAGCCGAGATCGAGCCATTGCACTCCAGCCTGGGTAACAAGAGTGAAACTCCGTCTCAAAAAAAAAAAAGAAATTGCCAAACAAAAAATCCTTCAATGGTATATTCTGCATCATATTGTGTGGGACACTCTATACTCTTTGAACAAAAAGAACATAACCCAGCACAGGTAGAATTGTTTTTTTAAGAGGAGAATGACTTTGTTCTGAGCTTATATCCCAGCCCAGGCCAGCTGTCCTATGATGTGAAAGTAAAAACTTCATCATGATAATGATCATACATTTAGAGAAACTTGGTGAAGTTATCATGTAAAGGGAAAAAATAGCCTGAATTATTGAGATTTTTAAATGAGGCTCATTTTAAAATTTACCCGGAAACCATGGTCTGGAACAGCACCTTTCTTTCCAAGGAGACAGGGATTCTGATTTAAATGGAGGCCCTGGCCTCTCCTAATTCCTTCCCCTCCAACAACTTGCAACTGGGGCCATCAAGGGTCCATCAGCAGTGCAACTGCAAACTAAATATAGTAGCTGACTGACCACAGGGTAAAAACAGCTGCTCTAAGGGGGGAAAAAAAGTTAGACAAAATGATACCGTCCCATTTTCCCCATCCCACCCTAACCCTACCAAGAAAAGTAAAAGAGGACTAGGTGGACATCGGGAATAACCAAGAATAAAGCTGTTCTTTCAAACTGAGAAATAAAAGGAAAAGTCACATTTGTAATTTTTCATAACACTTCAAGTAACTACTGTTAAGAGGGCCTTCTACTTTTATGGTTTCTCAAATGTAATCTACGCATCCAAACAACAAAGAACCAGTAGCAGAAAGAAAGTGATCAGGCAGCAGATCACCGACACATTTAAGCTCAGTTAAAATTGGCAACAATTGTATCTAGTTAGGCTTCTACCGTAACAAATGCATTCATTTCCTCGTCCAGCTTTCACTTGACCTGAGGGAAGAACACAAGACAGAATTGTACTTCCGTTTCAAGAGAAGGTCATTGTAAAAGCGCACTTCGGAGGGCAGACATCTACGGTCTGTTCCAACATGACCACCTCTTTGGACCAAAGGCCAGAAACTGCCAAACGCATGCCCTATTTAAAACGTGCATCTGCACCCACTTTGCTAAGCAGCATCAGACCGGGGCGAGAGGCCAGGGCCGAGGGGCGAGGGGCGGGAAAGGGGCGGCTGGTCCCACTTGTAGCCTCAGAACCACGCAGCCACCGCTTCCTAGACAGCGATCTCTGCGGACCCGCAGGAAGCATGAGCAGAGAGAAGGCGAGGAGACGGCACGTGCTCTCCTGGCTGGGTCCGCCGGGCCGGCCTGGAGACCCTCGCCACCTGGGGGTAGCGGAGGGGTCCGCTCCCCCGGGAGCTCGGATGAACGCCGAGGCCCGGGAGCGGGAAGACGGCTCACCTGGACCCCGGTGTAATTCTCGAAGAAGAAGAGCACCATGCTCTGGTAGACGCAGTAGAGCCGATCGTCCAGCGCCTGGTAGAAGCGGGAGGGCAGGAAGGCGGAGAGCAGCCGCCAGACCCCCCAAGCCAGCACGTAGGTGGGCGCTGTGCCCAGGAGCACGACGCTGGGCAGCAGGTAGCGCATGGAGTACGTGTGGAGCACCAGGGACAGCAGCATCTTCTCGGCTCCTTGGCAGCGGGCTCCCGCCTGCGTTCGCCGCCCGCCGCCCGGGCCTGAGCCGCGGCCAGCAGGCGGCCAATCACCGCCCGGGCTCGGGCCGCCGCGCCCACCACCCGCTCCCAGCCTCCGCCCCCAGCCGCATGGACTGCGCCGCCGCCGGGAACGGGGCGGGCGACTGCGGGGCTGGGTGCGCTGCTCGCGGCGGCCAGGCAAGGGCACCAGCGGCCCTCCGGGTCGACAGCTCAGGGGCGCTCACACCCCATGACCCTCACCCATAGCCACATCCCCCCCGCCGGGGGCGGGGCTCCGCGGCAATAATACGCCTTCTGATTGGTCTTCCGTTGCCATAGTTTCCCATCGGTGACAATAACACGTCTCCTGGTTGGTTAGCTTTGGCCAACAGTTGCCGCACAAACTGCCTACTGAGCACGCGGGCAGCCCGGCTCCGGTCACTGCGCATGCTCCCCAGCTGTGCCTGCTGCAGACTGGCGAAGCTGAGTGAAGGGTTCCGGCCGGAGGAGGTTCCGGGTGCCTCTTGTTCTGCTCCCTCGGCCGGACGTGCGTTCGGGCAGGCTTAAGGGTCGCTGGAGCTGCCTGAAACGCGCCTCTCCTGCTCACAGGCCCCTGGGCGCCGGGGAGCACACAATTAGAGCAGTAAGAAAGGGGGTGTTAGCGTTGTCAGAGGTCCCAGGTTGTAAGCAGCTCGGGTATCCTCATCTGCTCACTGCCGGTCCTTAGCACTGGGATGTCGTCTCCTCAGTTTCCCCTCTGAGTGCGCAGCAGCCCTTCCCGCCCCTTTCTCTCCGCCAGGGTGTTTAAGAATTAGGGTTCATGTTTTTCCCTTAATAGCAATGATTATACTTACAAGTTTATGCATAGCTGAAGAACCATCCCACAAAGATATTTCCATACTGTTTATTAGACCTTTTCAAAATTCACCCTCGCTTCATTTCTCCAGAGCCTGTTGGACTTGTTTCTGATTTTGTTTTTTAAATAAGGAGCCTCACTTTTTTCTGTAATAATTAAAGTACTTGAGTGTACACGTAGAACCCATAAAACACATACTTTTGTAGCCTTCGCTAAAAGCTAGGAAGGCTGGGTAGCTCTATTATTGATGTTAAAGCAGATCCACAGGCTTTCTGGATATTTCTTTCCTTTGGCTACAGTAAAAATGGTTTAATATGTAACACTTTTCAAGAATAGTTGTACTTTAACAGAATGCCAAATGCTTTACCTTAAATATGTATATATTATTTATATTTCCTGCCTAATGGAAGCCTGTGCTACTTTTAGGCAGAACAGCATTTCAGTGGAAAGTTTTAATCCGGGCCAGGATGGTTACTTTCTTTATACATGATTAACAGATGGTGACCTTTGGGGATAAAGCCAGGTGAACAGAGATCTCTCAAGTAACAAGTATTTGAGGGCCAGCAGGAAGCATTACACAGTAGAAAGAGCTTCTCTCCCTTTCTGTGGCTGTCACTGCCCTACATTGTAAGAACTAGGTTTAGTACTGGAGGGGGAAAAAGTCATGGGTGTGGACAATGTGCACAACTAATGGTTCTCATGCTTTCTTTAACTGAGACCAGACATCCCTATGCTAGAACAATGTGTGAAAAGATAAAGCAGGTTCTGTGCTCACATTAGGATTGCTATGTATAAAGTCAATAAATACGTTTCAATGTAAATTTGTTACTGTGAATTACCCCAGATTACTGTTAGTCACCAAGTTGTAAACTTTTGTGCAATGTTTGGCATGGAAACATGGAACTTAACTTTCTCCTGTTCCCTTTTTATGTTCAAACCCAGCTCCTGACTTTATCAGTTATTCTCTGTGCTGCTCACGTTCCTCTCTTCCTTTGAACAGTCACAGATCCACCCTCCATTTCTGCCATGACCTGGCTCTGTTTCCCTGTCTTTTTTTTTCCCCCTTCCTTCCTTTTCCGTGCAAACCTCTTCAAAATCAGTCCACACCCTCTGCCTCCTTACCTTGTACTTAGGTTGAGCCCTTGCAGTCTGATGACCTTTTCCACCGCTCTACCGGAATGATGCTTCTTTCAGACCACAGCTGACTTCCTCCTCTGTATAACCCTGCTGGGTACCTGTCGAAGAGTGAAAAGCAGATTCTGTGTGTTCCTGGTACAATATTTAACAAGGAGTTACCTGTGGGATGAAAAGGGGGCATTGATGGTTCTATGGGAGCATATATCAAGGCAATCTAATTTAGTATGGGGACAAGGAGGACTTTTCAGGTAAAATGATATTTAAGGTGATTCTTGAGGGAGTTAGTGGGCCCTCCAAGGGAGAATGGCACATTTGAATGCCTGAAGCTGAGAAAACATTGTATTCTCATGCATAGCACCGGAGTGGGCCATAGTGGTCTTTTTAAAATTTGTTGAGTTGCCCCCTGAAAGAATGCTGTGATTCCTATCACACATTCTTAAATTGATATTAAATGTTTTTATCAGCTGGGCATGGTGGCCCATACCTGTAATTCCAGCACTTTGGGAGGTCAAGGAGGAAGGATTGCTTGAGCGATTTGTAGAGTGAGACCTCCATCTCTACAAATAATTTTTTTTATTAGCTGGGTGTGATGGTGCACACCTGTAGCCCCAGCTGCTCAGGAGGCTGAGTTGGGAGGACTCGTTGATCCCAGGAGTTCAAAGCTGCTGAGTGAGAGCCATGATCGCACCACTGCACACCAGCCTGGGCAAAAGAGAACGACCCTGTCTCAAGAAAAGAAAAAACCCACAGGCTTTTAATTATAAACAGTCGCAAAAAGAAGTAAGTTCTGATGAGTTTTGAATGATGTTGTAAAAATAAAGTGATTACAGAAAAATTTTAAATATATGCAGTGAGTTACAAATACCATAGTGATTTTAAGGAGAGGAGTGTCATGCTTATATTTGATATTTTTAGTTGTTCAAGCATTGTGAAGAGTACATTTAAACAGTTTGGAGACATAGCTAGGCTCCCAGGTAGAAAGGATGATAGCAGCTTAGCCCTGTGACCATGTATGGAGAGAAAAATTAGTCCATCATGTACAGCCTTCTTGGAGGGAAATTTGACAGTATGTTCTAAGAATGGACAGTGACATGGTTTGGATCTGTGTCCCTACCCAAATCTCATTTTCAGTTGTAACCCCCAATGTTGGAGGTGGGGCCTGGTGCAAGGCGATTGGATCATGGGGGCAGTTTTCTCATGGATAGTTATCCATCCCTTTTGGCACTGTCCTCAGGATAGTGAGTGATTCTCACGAGATCTGGTGATTTAAAACCATGTAGCACCTCCCCCGTCACTTTTGTTCCTGCTCTCCCTTCTTTCCACCATGATTATAAGTTTCCTGAGGCCTCCCCAGAAGTTGAGCAGATGCCAGCACCATGCTTCCTATATAGCCTGCTGAACTGTGAGCCAGTGAAACCACTGTTCTTTATAAATTACCCAGGCTCAGGTATTTCTTTATAGCACTGCAAGAACAGCCTAATACAACTCTTAATTAGTCAATGTACTTAGGTGGACATCAGTAGCAGAATGGTACTGTGAATACACAGTACTGATATGTGAGATGGTATGCAACAGTTGGACAGGAATAAATGGCTCTAAATACATAGTCATGGAAAGATCTCCAAGGCACTCAGTGACAAAGCAAGTTGCGGGATAATGCATGCACTATGATCTTATTTCTGTACAAACTAAAATATATATATATATATATAGTTGAGTCATATTTTCGCTCTTGTTACCCAGGCTGGAGTGCAATGGTGCGATCTCGGCTCACCGCAACCTCCACCTCCTGGGTTCAGGCAATTCTCCTGCCTCAGCCTCCTGAGTAGCTGGGATTACAGGCACGCGCCACCATGCCCAGCTAATTTTTTGTATTTTTAGTAGAGATGGGGTTTCACCATGTTGACCAGGATGGTCTCGATGTCTTGACCTCATGATCCACCCGCCTCGGCCTCCCAAAGTGCTGGGATTACAGGCGTGAGCCACTGCGCCTGGCCTAAAACTGTATTTCTAAATGCAAATGTCTAGAAAGTATTTGGGAAGATACACTGATGACAGCAATTATCTTTTGGGAAGAAGGGTGAGATCACATGAAGGTCAACTGGCCTTCCTGTATTGTGTCAGGTTTTTACAAGGAAATACCGATTTAGCAGACTCAGTGCCTTTTAGACACCCCACATTACGCTGGGTGTCAGAGACCATGACCTTGAGCAGAGAAGGCCCAAAGGTGATCCTTATGATCTGAGTTGGGGGGAATGGGGAGTGAGGTTTTCTTATTACACAGGCTATTAAAAATGAATAATAAAAAAAAAACCAAGGTTGACCTTTTGTTCAAAACAGCGACCAGATGTGATCCACAGGAGTTAGTTGACTGGCAGTGATAGAGGAAGAGGAAGAAAGGAGTAAAGAAGCCTTTCCGGTTTCGTGCTTGACTAATGGGCAGAATTTGGTTTCACCCACTAACGGTATGGCAACAAGTGTTATAGGGTATGGAACTTACTTCTACAAGATTACATTTGAATATGGCTATTTATTTAGAGCGAGAAATCAGAAATTTTTCAAAGCTAACATACCACTGTTTAAAACTCAATGTGTTGAAATTTTCTTTTTTGAGGTCTCATTAGTTTTTATTACCTATTCATGAATCTGGTAGCATCCTATTCATAAAATAGAGCAAGCTCCCTGAGCTGAGCAGAGGACATGGCCTTTGTAAGCTGAAGAGGACTAAAGAAGCAGAAACTGACCAAAAAGCAGATGGTTCATTTCAAAGTTACTCTCCTTACATGGTTGAGACAGGAGACCTCTTTATCATGCCAACTCAGGTAAGTTGCACCCTGCCCTGGTTGCTGTAAGTCTCCTGGTTTGTTTTTGTTTGTTTGTTTTTTGAAAACTGGCCCATTTGAAAGTTTAGTTTAATTACATGTCATCTAACACTGTTATCACATAATTAGACATTGCCCAGGATATACAAGTAGCAACTTTCTCCATGGGCAAATGGCAGAGGCATTCAGTGTGCCAATGGGGGACAGTGTCAAATTTCCCAGTAGTGCTCTGTATTCACAGCTTCAGCTGTTGGCATCAGAAAGAGATCTCTGCCACTATGGAGGGCAGTTTATATTCGGTCAGCTGCCTGCCCTTTTGGCCAAGAGAAATGTGATTAGGAGAACATAAACAGTATGGCATAGGTGGGCTCAAAAATAGATGGTGCTAGGGACATAAATGCATAGGTGGAATTGTCCTTGACTATAGGTATAAATATAGATATAGTCCTTGATGACAGATAGATAGACTGATTGAGTCCTTGAATACATACACACACACACACACACACACACACACACACACACACACACACACAGTCTAGTGCTCCTAGGCTGCAAAGCTGAGCAGCATGTTACCATACTGAATGCTGTAAGCAATTGTAACACAATTGTAAGTATTTGTATATCTAAATAGAGAAAAGATATAGTAGGGCTGGTGTGGTGGCTCACGCCTGTAATCCAAGCACTTTGGAGGCCAAGGTGGGTGGATCACCTGAGGTTGGGAGTTCAAGACCAGCCTGACCAACATGGTCAAACCCCCTCTTTAAAAAATATATACGTTTATATTAAAATAAATAAATAAATAAATAAATAAATAAAAAGATATAGTAAAAATAAAGCATAAAATATTTAAAATGGTACACCTATATAGATCACTTACCTTAATTGGAGCTTTCAGGATGAAGTTGCTCTGGGTGAGTCAGTAAGTGCTGAGTGAATGTGAAGGCCAAGGACATTACTCTGCTGTAGACTTCGTACACACTGTACATTAGATTCCTATTTTTTAAATAAAGTAATGACACTACTATGTTACAATGGCTATGGTGTTTTCACTAGATGATAGGATTTTTTTGGCTTCACTATAATCTTATGGACCACTGTCATATATGCATCTGCAGTTGACTGAAATGTCAACCATATTTGACATTTCTAGCCCATAAGTGTAGTGGAGAAAACATAGGATAATAGTTTTTAAATCTTTAAGATTTTGCTTGGGATGATGCTAAGGTCAATAGTCATTACAAAGTATTGATTCTCAGAAGATCTTGGAATCTCCACAGAGCTGAATAAACCCACTGTTTTTGTATACAAATTGAAGAGTGTTCAGCCGGGGCACCGTGAGATCTCAGCATGCTTCTGAGAACATCCAAAGTGAATTTATGTGAACTCAGGCCTGGGATGTAATTAAAGAAAGCTGTGACGTCATCAGTTGTGTTGTAAATTGACCTTCCTAGTTGGTAGCAGGAGGGTGCTGAACTGAATGTCAGACCCTTGGACGCAAAAGGAAACTTGCGTATCTCAGTGAATGGAAAGATCTTGAACTAGAACACCTTCTATCAAGTCATGAACAACTTCTCCAAACTGGAACCAGTACTCTGCCTCTATTTGGTCAGTTCCCATTCATGTTTTTATTTTGCTATTTGCACAGATAAAACAAGAAGGCATTGCTGTTATAAAAAGTGTAAGCAATACTATTTTTTGAATATTGCATAAAATGTGGACGTTTCCATCATGTCACACCCAATCCCACTTTCTTACCCAGAGGTTACAGCTGTGTATTTATGCAGTAGATGCCTGTCAGTCCTTTGGCCTTTCCCTTCTTGAGGTCACTAAGATGGTCATGCAAACGGCCACCCCTTCCAACAGAGCCCATGTGATCTGAGGGGAAGTTGACTCCACCCACCCGCCCGTAATGGGCCACCATCAGTCTAGGGCTGTGTCTTACCAAAATGTGGACCTTGAAGCCTAAAGCCTCCTCAAGACCCTTTCAGGTGGTCTGAGGAAAAAATATTTTCACAGTGATACTGAGACATCATTTGCCTTTTACCTATTAGATTTGCAGTGGGGATGCAAAAGCAGGGGTAGGTAAATCCACTGGCACCTCGCTGGGAGTAAGGCAGTGACACAGAAATGTACCTACTAGTGACCACCGTGTTCTTCATCACATGTGATCATGGCAAACAACGCTACACTTGAGAATATCCTCAATGCAGTAACAACAACAACAAAATCAGTTTTATTAAATCTTAGCTGTGGAGTAACATCTTAATAATCCTTCATGTGACTAAACGGAACTTGCACGGGGCACGTGGGATGCATACCCAAGTGCAATAGCTCCCCTGCAGGAAGCGACCTCTGAGCTGCGCGCTGAGCCAGCTGCTTTCTTCACGGAGAGTCTTTTACTTGAAAGAATAGCTAGCAGTTAAACTGGTGAGTCTGGCAGACTTTTTTTTTTTTTTTTTCCAAAAACAAATTCACTTCAAAAGAAAACAACGGGTAATATTGCCAACAATAAAATTGGAACTTTCAAATGAAAACTTGAGTCTTGGAAAACTTATATTGTTCTATGAGCCTCATACCTTCTCAATTCTTGAAGACTTTTTCATGAGATCTGCGGCAATGGCAACCATTGTGGGTTTTCAAAACTGTATGATGAAATGCATTTGGAAAGTTGGCACAATGCAGTAAACCAACATTTTGAATAATGCATGATGTTTAAAAATGATGAATGGGTAAATGGCTCTTGTAAGCTTAAGATATACCAATGGGTTTTAATTTAAGTACAAAAATTTCATTGATATGATCTCAAACTTTACATGGCTGCTAACCTTTAAGCAATTACCAGTTTCTGAGTTTTAGTATAATATGAAAGAATAGTCACTTTATCTGAAAAGGTTATAAAGATACCCCTTCCAGGCTGGGCACTGCGGGTAGTTCATGCCTACAATCCCAGCACTGTGGGAGGCTGAGGTGGGCAGATTGTTTGAACTCAGGAGTTTGAAACCAGCCTAGGCAATATGGCAAAACCCAATGTTTCACCACAAAAAATACAAGAATTCGCCATACATGGTGGTGCATACCTGTATTCTCATCTAGCTACACAGCAGGCTAAGGTGGGAAGGTCACCTGAGCCCAGGAGGCTGCAGTGAGCTTAGATCATGCCACTGTATTCCAGCCTGGAGGACAGAATGAGACCCTGCTCCCCGCCCCGCCCCACCCCACCCAAAAACCCTTCCTTTTTCTAATTACACATCTATGTAAGGCTGGATTTTCTTCATACACTTCAGCCCAAAATAAAATAAAATGCAGCAGATTGAATGCAGAATCAGGTACAAGCATTCCAGCATCTGTTTTATTAAACCACATTAAAGAGACTTAAAAAAAAAAAGTAAAACAATGCCACTCTTCCTAAATTTTTTATTGTGTTTGAAAATAGTCTTTTAAGGACAATGTTATAAAGCACATGTGCATTCAGGCACAGAAGTCATACAAAATATGAAAAACTCAAATGGCCAGGTGGTTGATGCTTTTTTTAATTTAATTTTTTTTCTCTTTCTTTCTTTCTTTTTTTTTTTGAGACGGAGTCTTGAGACTGTCACCCAGGCTGGAGTGCAGTGCCACAATCTTGGCTCACTGCAACCTCCGCCTCCTGGGTTCAAGTGATTCTCCCACCTTAGCCTCCTGAGTAGCTGGGACTGCAGGCATGTGTGCCACCATGCCTGGCTAATTTTTGTATTTTTAGTAGAGACAGGGTTTCACCATGTTGGCCAGACTGGTCTTGAACTCCTGACCTCAAGTTATCTGCCTGCCTTGGCCTTCCAAAGTGTTGTGAAGCTCCAGGCCAGCTGATGCTTTTATACCATCTTGAGGTTACAAAAACAATGGAGACGTGGGTCCTGGCAAAACAAGTTATGATGGCAAAAGAGATTATGGGTTATGAGAGGGAAAGAAGAGGAGGCCTGGTACCTAAGGCAGTCTTGTTATGCAGATGAAGCCAAGGTAGTAGCCCTCAGGAAAAATAGACAGTAGGTAGGCCATGGGAAGTATTTGTCAGACTCTAAAAGTTTAGGACTCTCAGGTTATCTTTCCTAGATCTGGACAAGGGGGGCTTCAAAGAAAGCCTTCTTACATCCATTGTTTCCTTCACTTTATTTCCTCGTTATACACATCAGCCAAAAAAAAAAAAAAAGGCTAAACATTGCAGCCGATTGAATGGAGAAGCAGGTATAAGCATCAAACCTCCTTCCCCTGCCACCAACTCAAAAGGGGAGACTAGCTTTGCAGGACAATTCTTGTGTTTACAGGCCTCCTGAATAGCCATTTTGAAGTATGTCAAAGAAGTCTATTTTGAGGTGAAATATTTGGTGTCCTTTTCCTCCCAGCCTTCACAAAGAACCAACCCTGTTGACAGCTTGTTTAAAAACTTTCTGCTCCCCGCACTGAGAGACAATAAATGGCTTTTTCAAAGCCCCCCAGTGTGTGGCACTGTGTTATGGCAGCTCTGGCAAACTCTGATCAAAATACTTCCAGCTCAGAAAAAATCCAAACGAAGTCCTTCCCATGGCCGGCAAGGCTGCCCCATGAGCTGCTTCCCTGACCTCAGTACACAGCTCTGCCCAGATCATCTACGCTTAGGTGTGCCTTGACTGACCGTCAGGACTAAGCCAACTGCAATGTGACCTAAAAGGAAGAAGCTGGGGCAAAATTAACATAAATAGGGAGTGTATTGGAGCCAAGTTGAGGATTGCAACCCGGGAGCATAGATTCAAGTAGCCCTGAACATACACTGCAATTAGCAGCAATTACAAGTGGGGTTTTAAAGGGAAATGGGGACAGAGAGTGGGCAGATACAAAGTGGCTTGTCAGGAAATCTCTTTGGTTCACATAAATAACACTGATTAGTGATTGGCTCTATATTGCTAAGCTGTAGGTTGTGGGTTATAGTGTCAGTTGCAGCATTATTAGGTCAATTTATAGCTACTTGTGGGGCATTATTAGGTCAGTAGCTTGCTCTGAGACCCTTGCCTAGCTGTGCCCTCCAATCATTTGCCCAATACCAGTTAGATCCCCTACTGACACAGTATTTTTCTCAACACCTTTACCAGTCTTGCAGCTGGGTGCCCATCTACTTGGCCCACTGCACTCAGCTCCTTGAGGGAGGGAGCACGTGAGTGAGTGAATGTGGGACCCGGCCAGGTACTAGAAGTGCCAACACCTCCTTGGACCTTAGACTCTCTATGGAAGAGAGTGTGTGTGCCATGCTGAGTTCCTGGCACACTCCCACTGCGTGGGTACACATGGGTGCTTTCCCAATCCTCCTTCTTCCTGGGAGGTGCTCCTATCACCATGCAATGGGTTCATCTTGCCTGCTGCCAAGATAAAGCTGGTTTATTAAGATGGGGATGGCAGTAGAAAGAGTTTAACTCATGCAGAGCCAGATGAGTGGGAGACCAGAGTTCTGTTACACAAATCAGAGACTATGGTTTTTCACGGATAGTTTAGGCATTGCTCATTGGTTGGGGATGCAATCACAGTGGTGTGGAAAACGGTCCCCATGCATGCTATGCTGAGCCTACTTCATGGTGAGGACACAGGACCAGTTGGTGATCCCAGTGTGTCAGTCGTCAAAAACGTAAATTCCTGAAAGGACATCTCAAGAGGCCAGTATTAGGTTCTGCAATAGTGATGTTATCTGTAGGAGTAATTGGGGAAATTTCAAATCTCATGACCTCTGGAATAATGGTTGGTAACCATTCACATCTTCACCTTAGCAGAACTCAGGCTCCCCTCATGTTTCTACCTGATGGCATTTTCTTAGCTCTACAAAGGAGGTTTAGTTTTGGGGAAGAGATATTGTCATTTAAACTGTAAACTAAATGTCTACCAAAGTTAGCTTGGCCCAAGCCCAGGAATGATTAGGAGCGGTTTGGAGGTTAAAGGCAAGATGGGAGCTGGTTCGGTCAGATCTCTTTGGCCATCATGATTTTCTCTTGTGAAGGTGGTTTTGCTCCCTGGAAGCACTGCTCTGTGAGACAGAATTACAGAACCAAATTCGTACTAGGAAATCATCCCCTGGAGCCCCTGGTGATTGGATCCAAGGTAATTAAGTCACAGACCAAGTATCTAAGTCATCAGAAACAAAAAAATTACAGCCAAACAGAACTAAGCACTAGAGCACAGAAGTAATAGAGAATTACAGTCATAATTGGTACTGTGGTGTGTTATTAGTCCATTATCATGCTGCTATAAAGAAATAGCTGAGACTGGGAAATTTATTTTAAAAAGAGGTTTAATTTCCATGGCTGGGGAGGCCCCAGGAAACTTACAGTAATGGTAAAAGGCTAAGCGGAAGCAGGAACCTTCTTCACAAGGCAGCAGGAGAGTGAGTGCCAGCAGGGGAAATGCAAGATGCTTATAAAACCATCAGATCTCACGAAAACTCACTATCATGAGAACAGCATAGAAGCAACCACCCCCATGATCCAATCACCTCCACCTGTTTCCTCCCTCAACACCTAGGGATTATGAGGATTAAAATTCAAGATGAGATTTGGGTGGGGACACAGCCAAACCATATCATATGGAAACCCCAAACCACATACATGTTGATGTGGAGAACAGGAAGTAATGAAGCTGGCAGCCTCATTTGAAGAAGAATGTACAGTGCCTTTCAAAGCTGTGTTTACCCTTAATGCTCCTGCACATGCTTCCTTTATTGGTAATCTTTATCCCATTATTGAGATGGTGTTTCTCCTTTCAAAACACCGCTTCTTTGATTCAACCAGTGGACCAAGGACTTACAGTGCCTTTAAGGCCTGCTACCTAATAAGGACTTTTGCCCAGGCTATTGCTGTGGCTGAGAAAGATGCCGAGAAGACACTGATGCAACTCTGGAAGGATTATAATACCTGTGACTGCATCAAGAACCTATGCATGGTCACCAAGGCATGTGTGAATGGAATCTGGATGAAGACACTCAAGAGGTTTATCCATGACTTCAAAGAGTTAGCTAGGATAAGGAGGTTGCAAAAACCAAGGCTGTGGTTGTCATAAACTACTCTAACCAGGTGTAAATGAGGGTGATGTGGAGGAGTTCCTTGAGGTGGTTCTTGAGGAATTGAAGAATGAGGAGCTGTTGGAACTGGAAGAGGAATGCATAGCTGAACAAGAGGCAAGAGAAAAGGAAACCGAGAGAAAAAAAGAACTCCCAAGAAAATTAACAGTGAAGTGTTTGCCAGAAGCTTTTGTAGACCTCAGCTACTTAAAAAGTTTGAAAACATAGAGCCCAACACTAAAAGGTTCTTATTAATAGAAAAGAATGTATATGGTCCATTATCTGTTTGTAGGCAAATCTGTGATGTAAAAAAGAAACCAAGCAAACCACCACAGACGTATTTCCGAAAACAGCAACACTTCCTAAAAAGCCTCAGGGAGGTCCTTCAGGAGAGCTCCAGAAGGATGCATTGTGGTCACAGGAGAGGACAGCTCCATACCTGTTATTTCCCCTGAAGACTTTCCAGTGGGATAAGATGTGGCGATTGAAAACGTGATAGTGATGATCCTGACCCTGTGTAGGCCTAGGCTGACGTGCGTGTTTGTGTGTTAGTTTTTAATAGAACAGTTTAGAAAGTAATCAAAAGGTTTTAAAATGGCTTATAGCATAAGGATACAAAGAAAGGAAATATTTTTGTACAGTTGTACAATGTATGTTTTAAGCTAAGTGTTATAAGAATGAAAACATTTTTAAAAATTAGTTTATAAACAAGTTACAGCAAAGTAAGGTTAATTTATTGAAGAAATAAATTTTGCAAAGTAAATGGAGTATAGCCTCTAAGTGTACAGTGTTTATCGTCTATGACAGTGTATGGTAATGTCCTCGACCTTCGTGTTCACTCACCACCCACTCACTGACTCACCCAGAGCAACTTCCAGTCCTACAAGCTCCATTCATGGTAAGTGCCCTGTGGAGGTGTATCGTTTTTTATCTTTTATGCTGTATCTTACTACACTTTTTATGTTTCCATTATACGAATACCATTATATTACAGTTGCTTACAGTATTCAGCAGAACAACGTGGTGTATGGGTTCGTAGCCTAGGAGTAATAGGCTGCAGCATCCAAGTCCGTGTGAGTGCACACTGATGTCCACACGGTCACTGCATTGTCCACCGAAGCATTCCTCGGAGCACGTCTCCATCCTTAAGCACCGCAGGACTGTACTTCACTTTGTTATAAAGGAGCTGCACAGTGACTTAATATGATGCGTGCACAACAGCAGAATAAATAATGAAATGAGGTAAGAGACCATGAAGAGCAGGCAAGCACAGGGAGGGCAAGATGAGGTCAGTGCCACGCAGACCCTCTGTGGTTCAGCACTTTAGGCTGAGGTCAATGCTAAGCTTTTTGAGCCCAGCCTGGGTTTCTCTGTGGAAGGTTTTAAACCGTAGATTTTACACACACGCACACACATGCACACTGATTTTGAAAATTAAAAATTAAAACTTTTAATGGCTTTCAGATATGTACAATTGAAATTTCTATTTTATCTTGTGTCAAATTTGATAAGTTGTGCTTTTCAAGAAATTTGTTCACTTCATCTAAGTTGTCAAATTTGTTAGCAAGAAGTTGTTTATAATATTCTTTATCTCTATGTCCTCGTTTTTGTACCTGATATTGGTGGTCTTGTTTTCCCACCTTTTCCCCATTGACCAAACAAACAAGGACTTTGTCAATTTATTATTATTATTATTATTATTATATTATTATTTTGAGACAGAGTCTCACTCTGTTGCCCAGGCTGGAGTGCAGTGGCTCAATCTTAGCTAACTGTGACCTCTCTCTCCCAGATTCTAGCAATTCTCATGCCACAAACTACCAAGTAGCTGGGATTACAGGCATGTGCCACCATGCCAGGCTAATTAATTGTATTAATATTTTCAAAGAACCAACTCTTGGCTTCGCTGATTATTGTTTGCCTGCTTTTAGATTCACTGATTTTTTACCTAATTTTTTATTTATTTCCTTCTACTTTCTTTGTATTTAATTTGATTTTTTGTTTAGCTTTTTGAGTTGGAAACTGACTGAGTTTTAACCTTTTTTTCTCAGCAATGAATTTAAAACCGTGTATTTTCTTGTAAGTTCTCCTTTAACTGTATCCGTTAGTCTTTTTTCTTTAACCTTAACCTTTTTTTTTTTTTAGAGACCAGGATCTCACTCTGTTGCCCAGGCTTGAGTGCGCTGGCATGATCTCGGCTCACTGCAGCCATGACTTCATGGGCTCAAGCGATCCTTCTGCTTGAGCCTCCTGAGTGACTGAGACTACTGGTACATGCCACCATGCCCGCTTAATTCTTTTCCCCTAGAGATGGGGTCTTGCTATGTTTACCAGGCAACAAAATTTGACAACTTTTGTTTTAGTATAGCTCTCCCTCCTTTTTTTGTATTTTTGATTTTGTTTTATTTTATTAGGACAAGGTTTTCCTCTGTCATGCTGGCTGGAGTACAGTGGTGCTATGATAGCTCATTGCAGCCTTAACTCTGGGGCTCCAAGTATACGGGACTGCATATGCCACCACTCCCAGCTAAACTTAAAAATGTTCTGTAGAGGCCGGGCGTGGTGGCTCAAGCCTGTAATCCTAGCACTTTGGGAGACCGAGGCGGGTGGATCACGAGGTCAACAGATTGAGACCATCCAGGTCAACATAGTGAAACCCCGTCTCTACTAAAAATTACAAAAAATTAGCTGGGCATGGTGGCGCGTGCCTGTAATCCCAGCTACTCAGGAGGCTGAGGCAGGAGAATTGCCTGAACCCAGGGGGTGGAGGTTGCAGTGAGCCGAGATCACGCCATTGCACTCCAGCCTGGGTAACAGCAGTGAAACTCTGTCTCAAAAAAAAAAAAAAAAATGTTCTGTAGAGAAATGATCTCACCATGTTGCCCAGGGTGGTCTTTAACTCCTGACCTCAAGCAGTCCTTCTCCCTTGGCCTCCCAGAGTGCTGGGATTACAGGTGTGAGCAACCGTGTGCGGCGCACTTGCCCTTCCTACTGATGGTGATTAGGTTATAGGGCCTTTTGCCTAGGTGGAGCCTCTGAGTTTGCGACACTAAAACCTTGCCCTCTGCATGTCAGAGGCTTTGTGTTCTCTTTTCTACAGTTTCCACTCACGCAAAAGTTACCATAAGAGGAGCCAGGAAGGGCTGTTGGGATGTTGAGCCTGCCTACTATTTTAACAATCAGGACATCAAGGCCAATAAGCCACAGTCTGCCTGGGTCCTGCGACTGCTATCAGCTTCTAATCCCCGGGTCACTGCTCACCATTCCTTTAACTCCTTCACCATGTCCGCAGCTGGGCTCACGTGTTTGTACATGTGCTCAGTCCTCCATGCTGACTCAGATTTGACTAAATGTTGGCTCACGTGTTTGTACATGTGCTCAGTCCTCCATGCTGACTGAGATTTGACTAAATGTTGGCTCACGTGTTTGTACATGTGCTCAGTCCTCCATGCTGACTCAGATTTGACTTCATGTTGGCTCACGTGTTTGTACATGTGCTCAGTCCTCCATGCTGACTCAGATTTGACTAAATGTTGGCTCACGTGTTTGTACATGTGCTCAGTCCTCCATGCTGACTCAGATTTGACTTCGTGTTGGCTCACGTGTTTGTACATGTGCTCAGTCCTCCATGCTGACTCAGATTTGACTTCATGTTGGCTCACGTGTTTGTACATGTGCTCAGTCCTCCATGCTGACTCAGATTTGACTAAATGTTGGCTCACGTGTTTGTACATGTGCTCAGTCCTCCATGCTGACACAGATTTGACTTCGTGTTGGCTCACGTGTTTGTACATGTGCTCAGTCCTCCATGCTGACTCAGATTTGACTTCATGTTGGCTCACGTGTTTGTATATGTTGTGCTCAGTCCTCCATGCTGACTCAGATTTGACTTCATGTTGGCTCACGTGTTTGTACATGTGCTCAGTCCTCCATGCTGACTCAGATTTGACTAAATGTTGGCTCACGTGTTTGTACATGTGCTCGGTCCTCCATGCTGACTCAGATTTGACTTCATGTTGGCTCACGTGTTTGTATATGTTGTGCTCAGTCCTCCATGCTGACTCAGATTTGACTTCATGTTGGCTCACGTGTTTGTACATGTGCTCAGTCCTCCATGCTGACTCAGATTTAACTTCATGTACTTCCACTCATCTTAGCAGAGAAAGTGGACTTTATTGTGAGCATTTTGATTTGTTTTCTTTGCATTGTGACTTAGATTTTATTATAGCACATCCAGTAGGACAAAAGTCACACCGAAAAACTATGGAAAGTGAAATCAAGTCTTTGATGGCCTTGCAAACTAGAGTGTAGAGTTGCAGGCTTGAAGACCTCTCAGTCCGTTGGCCAGGGGTGCCAGAGCGTAGAAGGCTTTGCCTCCAGCTTCGTTGTGATTCTCTGGGGAAGTGTGTTGCAGTTGTTTCACTGCTAGCTCTCACTCCTCACCTCCACCACTCACCACCGATTTTTCTTTCTGTGTGTGGTGGAATGACACTTGCTGTCATTTGCTAGGGATGGTACAGGACCAATCCAATATACCCCTTGCATTTAGCCTGCCTTTTAAAAACATTTAAATTTTTTCCACTTTCTCCTTCACTCCTATCTTTTAGTTTTAGAGTCTAATATTATTTTTCAACACTACTTTTAATAGTCGACAGTATGGTCATATTCAGTGTTTGAGGACTTGCATGCTTTAAAATGTGTTGAAAATCACTTTGTTTTTCAAAGGTTTTTTTTTCCTTATAAATCATTTTAAAAATTCTGAAACAATAAGACTCTTAAGATTTAACCAAACCGTTCCTCCCATCTGTAATCTTCTAATAAGTTCTGTCATTTAAACAAATTCTTCTTTTCTGTTGAAAGATATATATTTTGGAAATGTCCCCTGCCCTGATTCCTTTCATTTCTGTGAAGAAAACATTGGAGACGAACCACTGGAATGAGCCATAGTTATTTGCGCCTGAACATCCATCATTCTTCCAGCCGACGAGGGGACCCCCGTGATAATTCCCCTTTGCCTCTGCCAGAAGATGTCAACAGCATTCCATGTAATGTTACTCTCTCTGTATAGATGACCCCAGATATGTGTCTCTGGGCTTGGCCTGTGCCCATTGTATTATCCGGCTTCTGCCTGTCTTTCTGACGGCTTTGTTTCCTTTGGACAGACACTGATACCTCAAAGAAGAGTTGAAAGGTACAGCTTCCATTGTCTCTGGCTTCCGAGGCTTGTGTCATGTATTGTTAAGAGGGGATAATAAGCTTCCTTGCTTCCTTTATTTTCCCTACTTTATTTTCCTTAGGTTATCAAAACCTAAGGCTCAGATTTTTAAATGATTATTTTTTCTTTTGTAAATCCATGCCAATTTCTATTGTTTCCCAAATAGTGTATCACTTTCAGAGGTATCCTTTCTGCCAAGAGCCTTATTATTTAATATTACAACTGGGAAAAATTCCTTCCATTTAAATCTTTCTAAACCCCGATGTGCCTACAGAATTTTGGCTGTTAACTGCAAGCCTTAAGTGAAAGGTGTATCACTCCCACAACATTATCTCCTACTTAGATACACTGCACATAGTCTCTTGTCTTTTCTTTTTTTTTTTTCTGTTTTATTTTTTTTGATAGAGTCTCACTCTGTTGCCAAGCTGGAGTGCAGTGGCATGATCTCTGCTCACTGCAACCTTTCTCTCCCGGATTCAAGAGATTCTCCTGCCTCAGCCTCCCAAGTAGCTGGAACTACAGGCATGCACCACCATGCCTGGCTAATTTTTTGTATTTTTGTAGAGACGGGTTTTCACCATGTCAGCCAGGCTGGTCTCAATCTCTTGACTTTGTGATCCACCCACTCCGGCCTCCTCAAGTGCTGGGATTTCATGCATGAGCCACCACACCCAGCCTATACACTACATACATTCTATATACATAAAGTATTTTTTAAAAATCACTGCAATACAAAAGACACGAACAGATACTTTTCAGAAGAAGGCATACATACAGCCAACAAGCATATGAAAAAAGTTTAGTATCACTGATCATTAGAAAAATTAAAACCACAACGAGATACCATCTTATGCCAGACAGAATGGTTAGTATTAAAAAGTCAAGAAATACCAGATGCCAGCAAGGTTGTGAAGGAAAAGGAATGCATCCTCACAGTTGGAATGTAAATTAGTTCAACCATTGCAGAAAGCAGTGTAGTAATTCCTCAAAGAGCCAAAAACAGAACTACCATTTGACGAAGCAATCCCATTACTGAGTATATACCCAAAGGAATATAAATCATTCTACCATAAGGACACATGCAAACGACTGTTCATTGCAGCACTGTTCATAGTAGCGAGGACATGGACTCAAACTAAATGACCATCAATGGCAGATTGCATAAAGAAAATGTGGGTCCATATACACTGTAGAATACGATGAAGACAAGGAAAGAATAAGATAATGTCCTTTGCAGGAAGATGGATGGAGCTGGAAGCCATTATCCTTAGCAAATTAATGTAGGAAGAGAAAACCAAATACCCGATGTCCTCACTTATAACTGGGAGCTAAATGATGAGAACACATGAACACAAAAGGGGAACAACACACACTGAGGACTACTTGAGGGTGAAGGGTAGGAAGAGGGAGAGGATCAGGAAGAATAACCAGTGGAGAGTAGGCTTAGTGCCTGGGTGAGGAAACGATCTGTGCAACGAGCCCCAGTGATATGAGATTACCTATATAACAAATCTGCACAACAAGCCCCAGTGATGTGAGTTTACCTATATAACAGATCTGCACAGCGGACCCCAGTGATATGAGATTACCTATGTAACAAATCTGCACAACGAACCCCAGTGATGTGAGTTTACCTATATAACAGATCTGCACAGCGGACCCCAGTGATATGAGATTACCTATGTAACAAATCTGCACAACGAACCCCAGTGATGTGAGTTTACCTATATAACAGATCTGCACAGCGGACCTCAGTGATGAGTTTACCTATATAACAAATCTGCACAGAGGACCCCAGTGATAGGAGTTTACCTATATAACAAATCTGCACAGTGAACCTCAGTGATGAGTTTACCTATATAACAGATCTGCACAGCAGACCTCAGTGATGAGTTTACCTATATAACAGATCTGCACAGCAGACCTCAGTGATGAGTTTACCTATATAACTGAGTTTACCTATATAACAAATCTGCACAGTGAACCTCAATGATGATTTTACCTATATAACAGATCTGCACAGTGAACCTCAGTGATGAGTTTACCTATATAACAGATCTGCACAGCGGACCTCAGTGATGAGTTTACCTATATAACAGATCTGCACAGTGAACCTCAGTGATGAGTTTACCTATATAACAGATCTGCACAGTGAACCTCAGTGATGAGTTTACCTATATAACAAATCTGCACAGTGAACCTCAATGATGATTTTACCTATATAACAGATCTGCACAGTGAACCTCAGTGATGAGTTTACCTATATAACAGATCTGCACAGCGGACCTCAGTGATGAGTTTACCTATATAACAGATCTGCACAGTGAACCTCAGTGATGAGTTTACCTATATAACAGATCTGCACAGTGAACCTCAGTGATGAGTTTACCTATTTAACAGATCTGCACAGTGAACCTCAGTGATGAGTTTACCTATATAACAAATCTGCACAGTGAACCTCAGTGATGAGTTTACCTATATAACAGATCTGCACAGTGAACCTCAGTGATGAGTTTACCTATATAACAGATCTGCACAGTGAACCTCAGTGATGAGTTTACCTATATAACAGATCTGCACAGTGAACCTCAGTGATGAGTTTACCTATATAACAGATCTGCACAGCAGACCCCAGTGATGAGTTTACCTATATAACAGATCTGCACAGTGAACCTCAGTGATGAGTTTACCTATATAACAGATCTGCACAGCAGACCCCAGTGATGAGTTTACCTATATAACAGATCTGCACAGCGAACCTCAATGATGAGTTTACCTATATAACAAATCTGCACAGTGAACCTCAGTGATGAGTTTACCTATATAACAGATCTGCACAGTGAACCTCAGTGATGAGTTTACCTATATAACAGATCTGCACAGCAGACCCCAGTGATGAGTTTACCTATATAACAGATCTGCACAGCGAACCTCAATGATGAGTTTACCTATATAACAAATCTGCACAGTGGACCCCAGTGATAGGAGTTTACCTATATAACAGATCTGCACAGCGAACCTCAGTGTTGTGAGTTTACCTATATAACAAATCTGCACAGCGGACCCCAGTGATAGGAGTTTACCTATATAACAAATCTGCACAGCGGACCCCAGTGATAGGAGTTTACCTATATAACAAATCTGCACAGTGGACCCCAGTGATAGGAGTTTACCTATATAATAAATCTGCACATATGCCCTGAACGTAAAATAAAAGTTTTTAAAAATTTACTTCAATATTTTGTGTTCATTCTTCTTTTCCTAATATTAATTAATTTAACAATTATTTTGACCTTCCCATGTATCACATAGGAGAAGACAGAAATGGTCCATGGCTTCTTGGATCTAACAGCCCAGTCAGTGAGAATGACCAGACCTCTTTTCTAAATTCAACCGGAATATTTTAGTCCATAACTCTTCCACTGATTACAACTAGGTTCGAGAATGCAAAAAGCATCTACCTGAAGACGCTGACGAGTAAACAATGGCAGGGGAGAGAAATAACAACTTGAAAATTACCATCAACAATAGTGAGTTTCCAAGATTTTTTTCTTTCTTCATCTTTGCCTTCCACACAAGGGTGGCCTGCAACATGAACTATAGAACCTCACAGTGGACACACAGCAAAGCCTGTAAGAGAACTCTCCCTTCCTTTCAGCCAGGTGTGGTGGCTCACTCCTCTAATCCCAGCGTTTTGGGACGACGAGGCAGGAGGATTGCTTCAGATAAAGAGTTTGAGAACAGCCTGGCCAACATGGTAAAACCCTGTCTCTACAAAATATACAAAACTTAGCCGGATGTGGTGGCCTGTGTCTGTCGTCCCAGCTACTCAGGAGGCTGAGGTATGAGAATTGCTCGAACCTGGGAGGCAAAGGTTGCAGTGGGCCGAGATCATGTCACTGTACTGCAGCATGGGTGACAGGGTAAGAGTCTGTCTCAAAAAAAAAAAAAAAGAAACACTTCCTTTGTGACCACAGAAAAATGAGTCAAGAGTGCAGGGGATGGGAAATCCCTGTTTACTTTTCTTCCTTTTTTCTTTTTTCTGCCTTGGTCCAGCCACAAGGCCAGCTCACCTTGCAAAGCTACCCTACTGTAGTGGTGATGGGGGCAACTGAAACCCCAAGAGAAAACTCTCATTATGGTCAGAGGAACTGGGAAAAGGGGCCCCTGGGAGGCCAGCCATGTGGGGGACATTTCAGAGAGAAGTGCGTTGGAGAAGGACACCCCTTAATTGTGTGTGTGAATCTAGCCAACTCTTGAGTTCATCTAGAGCTGGAAGTGCAGAGAACAGACACAGAGAAGCATAAAGAAGGCTTGGAGAACTGAGATAGGAAACACTGCCCACAAAGGAACTTGCCATCTGAACCAAAACTGGCTGATTCCTTACTAAAACAAGTCACAAAAAATCAGCATGATCACACAGAGCCCAGAGTTGCTCTGCATAATAACCAACATATCCAAGATAGAATGCAGAATAACTTGATATACAAATCACCAGGAATATATTCCCATTTCCCAAGGGAAAAGACAATCCACAAATGCCAACCACGAGAGGACCTGGATATTAAAATTAGCACACAAAGTCTTCAAACAGCGATTATAACTATACTTCAAATAAATGAAAAAATGGAAATGAGTTTTCAGTAGGAAAATCCAAACTATAAAGGACAAAATGAATATTTTTAGGGCTGAAAAACAAAATATAGCACAAGAAGATAAAAAATTCACTGGATGGGCTTAATCGTAGAATGGAGATGTCCAAGAAACAGTGGAAAATTATCAATAGATATTATCCAGTCTGAAGTAGAGAAAGAACAAAGATTTAAAACAAAATGAACAGAGCTCCAGGGACCTAGAGGATATTATCGAAGGGTTTCACCTTTATGTCCTTGGAGTCCCAGAGGAGAAGAGAGAGATAGGTGTGGAAAAACGATTTGAAACATAACGGCATGCTTAAAACTTAACCAAATTTGGGGGAAAACGTAAACTTTCATAAACCTCAATCAGGATACACATGAAAAATATTGTGCCAGGACACAATAATCTAACTGCAAGAAGAAGAGAAGAAGAGGGATGGGGGACCAGTTAGGTGAAAACAGATACATAGAGGGGAAGATGAATTTGAAGATTTCTCTTTGGAACCATGGAGGCCAGAAGACAGTGGAATATCTTTAAGTGCTGAAAGAAAAAAACCAAGCCGCCAAACACCATTCTTCCAACAATACTCTGTCATCCCAGAATTCTATGTGCATCAAAAATGTCCTTCAGAAATGAAGACAAAATACATTTTTGAATGAAAGCCAATAAACAAGGTCAGCAAAGTTTCAGGATGTGAAATCAACAAACAGAAAATCAGTTGCATTTCTACACATTAACAATAACCATCTAAAAGGGAAATTTAAAAACTTTCATTTACGATTCAAAGACTAAAATCCTTAGGAATGTATTCAATCTAGGAGGCAAAAGGCTTGTGCACGAAAAACCCCCAAAATATTGAAATCGTAAATGAAACATTACCCCACGTGCATGTACTGAAAGACATAATATTGCTAAAACGGGAATACTACCTAAAGGGATTTACAGATTCAGTGAAGTCCCTCTCATTGTACAATTTCTTTTTTTAAGAAGTATTTTTGCTCTGTCTCCCAGGCTGGAGTGCAGTGGCATGATCTTGGCTCCCTGGAACCTTGGCCTCCCGGGTTCAAGTGATTCTCCCACCTCAGCCTCCTGAGTAACTTGGGTAACAGTCACACACCACCATGCCTGACTAATTTTTGTATTTTTGTAGAGATGGACTTTCGCCATGTTGGCCAGACTGGTCTTGAAATCCTGACCTGCAGTGATCTTCCCACTTTGGCCTCCCGAAGTGCTGGGATCACAGAAGTGAGCCGCTGCACCCAGCCAGTATTTTTTATGGAAACAGAAAGGCACATCCTATAGTTCATAGAAAATCTCTCTCTCTCCTCTCTCCTCTCTCTCTCTTTGTTGCCCAGGTTGGACTTGAACTCCTTGGCTCAAGTAATCCTCTCACCTCAGCCTACTGAATAGCTGGGATTACAGGTGTGCACTACTGCACCTGACTGTTATATGGAATATTAAGGGACTCTGAATAGCTAAAATAGTCTTGAAAAAGAAGAATAACGTTGGAGGACTCACAGTTCCTGATTTCAAAACTTACTGCAAAGCCATGGTAATTCAACAGTGTGGTCTTGGCTTAAAAACAGGCAGAGAAGCCAATGGTATAGATAAGAGAGCCAAGAAATAAGCCACTGCATATATCATCGGTAGGTCCAAAAATCCCTCTCCAGGGAAAGGGTGGTCTTATTAATGATGCTGAAAAAACTGGATATCCACATACAAAAGAATGAAGTTGGACCCTTCCCTTACACCACATACAAAAATTGACTCAAAATGAGTCAAAGACTTAAATGTAAAAGCTAAAGCCATAAAACTCATAGAAGAAAACATAGGGGAAAATCTTCATGACATTGAATTTGCCAATTTCTTGGAAATGACACCAAAAGCACTGGCAATAACAGCAAACAAAATAGGCAAATTGGACTTTACCTATATTTAAACTATGTACAGCAGTGCAGGGTGGGAAATTTAAAAAATTAAAATTACAAATGTTTTAATTCTTCCCTTCAAGTCTGTATGCTTGAGTCTTCCCATGCCAGGCAGCAGACATGTAAGGGGTGAGCCTGTAAACGATCCCAACACTAGCCCGCACGTCAACCCCGGGGAGCCAGCCCCGAGAGCCCTGCCTGATTTGCAAGTTCATGAGTAAAATAAATGTAACCTGGCCGGGCGCAGTGGCTCACGCCTATAATCCCAGCACTTTGGGAGGCCAAGGCGGGTGGATCATGAGGTCAAGAGATCGAGACCATCCTGGTCAACATGGTGAAACCCCATCTCTACTAAAAATACAAAAAATTAGCTGGGCACGGTCGCACACACCTGTAGTCCCAGCTACTCAGGAGACTGAGGCAGGAGAATTGCTTGAACCCTGGAGGCGGAGGTTGCAGTGAGCCGAGATCGCGCCATTGCACTCCAGTCTGGGTAACAAGAGCAAAACTCCGTCTCAAAAAAAAAAAAAAAAAAAGAAAGAAAGAAAAACAATGTAACCTAAAACTGCTCAAAAATAGCCTTTTTTTTTTTTTTTTTTTTTTAGAAAACACGAGTATTAAAAAAATCATTTATAATCCTTCCATTGTCCCTTTTCGTTAAAATATCAAACAGAAACATGAGTTTCACTGATATGACCTGTTTTCGTGGCTGTTTTCTCTTTGCTTAATTTCCCTGCCATGGGAAAGACTGGCTAATTCTCCTTTCTTCCCAGTCAGAAATAACTACCAGCAGAGGCTGCTAGAAGGCAGGCATTAGGAATCTCTCTGCCGTGGAGAGATGGGCGGTCCTGCACAGCGCCGGCTTCGCTCTGACGGCTACAGGCACGTCCCTCGGGACAGCACTCGCTCCGTGGCAGAGATTTCGCAAAGAACTGAGGATCTTTGTGTCTATTCTACAGGGCGTCTATTGAACATTCCCTAAGAAAGAAGACAGTCTGGACACCTGACAACAGGTGTGAATTCACACCCCTTTTTCTAGATGTTATTATGGAAGGAACGTTGAAAGAAATATATTTCTTTCCTTTAGCAACCACCAAAGTGGTTACTAAAAGGAAATGCATTTCTCAAAAATATCTATTTCAATTTAGATATCTATTTCAAGTAACACATTTGTTAAATCATTTTATCCTCCGTTTTTTCAGCATGTGAGAAATGTTTAGAGTTGCTAAAAGGTTCATGAAAAGCATTTTGTTAAACTCCCTCAATAAAATTCTGAATGTGATTCCCTTTATTCCCAGAGATTATCCAAGAAAGGAAGTGGAGAATGTTCTTTTAGAAAGCATGAAGTGGGAAAATGTTTTAAACTATTTATAGCAGCACTTAGCTGTGGAAATCCCAGACTTTACCAACTATTTATAGTTACTCTTTGGGTTAAAAGGGTGAAACCAGAAATCTTGAAAATGCTACATGCTTCTATCCAGCAGTTAAAACTAGTAAGCTGTCTTTCGGTGGTTATGATAACCAGATACTTATAAGAGTAATTCTGGAAATGATAATAAATACATCTTGGCTAAGAAAAAAAAATGTTTAAGAGAGCAATGTTTTCTCTGATTAAGTGATTTGTATTTGGGCTTCTTATGTTTTCAAGTTATCTGCAAATGGCATTCTCTCTGTAGCATTTGGGATTTCTCATGACAAGTAGGGAGCTTGGTGAGTTGACAACAGTTTGCACATGGGCTAGCAAATCTCCAGTGCTGGTTGGTCATCTGAATAAAAATGCCAGGTATAATTTCTGGACTTCAGACAGCAGAATTTAAACCTTCCTTGGAGGAACACCCGTTTCTGAAAATTCTGCAAGGCTGTAATATCAAACTCTGCTCTGGCCTTGAATATACGGCACAGAATTTGCACCTATGCAGTGTAGAATATTCCATCTATTGACCTTTAGGAATTTAATTGTTTTAGTTTCTTAATATGTTTTTTCTGGAAGCTAAAGACCAGTTTAAGGAGGCTGTTGCTATAAAATGAATGTTAAACACTCATGAGAGTTTGGGAGAGGGCAGTGGCCGGCAAGGCTGGAGAGGAAGGGATATGTCTGGGAGGAGTTTTAGAAGTAGACTCAGTTGACTTTGTTGAGGTATTCGCATGTTAAAAATGAAATTCTTCTGCCGGGTGCAGTGGCTCATGCCCGTAAACCCAGCACTTTGGGAGGCTGAGGTGGGTGGATCACTTGAGGTCAGGAGTTCAAGACCAGCCTGGCCAATATGGTGAAAAACCATCTCTACTAATAATACAAAATTAGCTGGGCGTGGTGGTGTGTGCCTGCAATCCTAGGTACTCCAGAGGCTGAGGCAGGAGAATCCCTGGAACCTGGAAGGAGGAGGTCTCAGTGAGCTGAGATGGCGCCACTGCACTCCAGCCAGGGCAACAGAGTGAGACTCCATCTCAAAAAGAAAAGAGAAGAAAAGAAAAAAGGAGAGGAGAGGAGAAGGAAGGAGAGAAGGGAGGGGAGAAAGGAAAGGAAGAAAGAGAAGGGAGAAAAGAGAGGAAGGGAGGAAGGGAGGGAGGGAGGGAAAGAAGTTTTTCTAACTGGGGGGAAATTTTACCCCAATAATAATGTGCACTTTGGCATTGTATAAAAATAAGGAGATGATTAAGAATGGATAAATGCCATCCCGGACAACATAGTGAGACCCCATCTTTACAAAATACCAAAAACTTTAGCTGGGTATAGTGGTGCATGCCTATAGTTCCAGCTACTCTGGAGGTTGAGGCAGGAGGATTGCTTGAGCCTGGGAGGTTGAGACTGCAGCGAGCCACGATCATGCCACTACACTGTGGCCTGTGCAACAGAGCGAGACTCTGTCTCAAATAATTTAAAAAACAATTTAAAGAATGGATAAACGCAGTGGTGACAAAACAACAAGATCATGTTGTTGCCTGAACAGCTCGTTCTTTGCACACTCCTTACACAAAATCTCAACCAGCGGAAGTTGTGACTCATCATCAGTGCAAACCTTTAAGTAGAACTCGCAGAACTCAATATGCTTTTGGGTCAATCAGGTGAGACAGAAAATTCAGGCCTCTGAAATGCAATTGTAAATGCAAATGACACTGAAGCCTTCTCACGTACGGTTCTCATTTCTTATTAAATTCCACTCTGCTGCCTGGGTAGTGTCACGTACAAAATGCAGCGTAAACTCCCAGTGAGCGTGACACGTTCATGCCCTGCAAGCTGGAGGACGAAACCGACCTGATAACTTCCATCCACCTGTGTTCAGTGGTTGCTTCGTCTCAACTCCCGGAGCGCCGGCTGCATAGGCAATCCATTTGTCACTGTGTGACGTGCTGTCCTACGCCACCTCTGACGCCAGTGCCCTTGGTATTTGTTCCTGTCACAGCCCCATTTGAAGCACTCGTTTCCTGTGGCCACGATGGTGAGGCTGCCTGCACCACAGTCACCTCCGCTCTGCAACCTCGCCTCCTTCTGCGAAGAGTCGACTGATTTCCTTGGAAACCACACGTGCTACATTAACCAGAAGCAGCCTGGGGTGGACAGTTGGGCTCCTGAAGCCTCCACCCTGTTTTTGCTGTCCACATTTCAAGTGTTTCTGGACAAAGACTTAACCTCTCTAAGTCTCTGTTTCCTCTGTTCTGAAATGAAAGACTGGGCCAAGTACTTTCTGAGGCCTCTCTAACTGGCTTCACTCCCTCCCCTCATGCCCCTTCTCTCGACTGAACTGAACTCTGAGGACTATATGGTCCCACTCAGGACCAGTTTTCCAAACTTTTAGATGATATCTGCGACCACTTCGCCCAAAAGAAAACCTGAGAGTGGGTTTACGGGAATCTAAACGGGTTAATGAAGAGATGATTGGTCTCGTGCAGAAGCTGTGGGCTCCTTAAAGGGCCCTGGGAAACCACTTGAGGACTTTGCAGAAACAGCAGCTCACACAGCCAACTTGGCCTCCGTGGCAATTGAATTGATATCAAGACGTAAAGCTCTTTGCCCAGAGGCTCCGGGGAGGATGCTGTGGAATACGACTCTACCTCCTGTGCCTTGTCCTCGAACCTTGTCAGCTCAGGTGTGCTGGACTTCGCCTCATCCTGTTTGGATGGGCAGGATCCACTTCAGTCGGGCCAGCTGGAGAGGATGGCTCTGTTTTCTCTTTTTAATCCTTCCTTCCTTCCTTTTTTCCTTCATCCCTCCCTCCCTCCTTCCTTCTCTCCCTCCTTCCTGTCTGCCTTCTGCCTTCCTTTTTTCTTCCTTCCTCTTCTTCTTCCTTTTTGCTCTTTCTTCCTTCTTCCTTTCTTTCCTTTTTCTTTCTTCCTTTCTTCCTTTTTTCATTTCTTTCTCTCTCTGTCAAGATAGTGTCTCACTATTTTGCCCAGGCTTGTCTTGAACTCCTGGCCTCAAAAGATCCACCCAACTTGGCATCCCAAAGTGCTGAGACTGTAGATATGCACCATCATGCCTGCCTAGGGAATGGTTCTTTGTCATAGCGTGGCTGAGTCCAGATTGTCCACAGATAGGAATCAGAACTAGAGGCTTGAGACCACCGGGAGCAGGATCTGTGTGTCCTCAGAGCTGAGGTCCTAGAGCTGCTTCCTGTCCCCTGGGTCCCAGGCAAGCTCACTGCTGGTGGCCCTGGGAGTCACCGTCCCCAGCTAAGAGAGCTTGACAGCAAAGGTCCTGTGTCTTCATTCATCATTCCCATGACAGAACTTTGGATGGGGAAAGAGGAACAGAGCCCTAGGGACTCAACACCCCTTGTTATTTTGGTTAAATCTTCCCTGCTCCTGAGCCACTACAGTGACCCCTAGCTCCTAGGCCTTGTTAGCCTAGGGTTGGGGATATGTACCTCCCACCTCTCCTCCTACAGATGGACTTGCGTCTCTTAGTAGATTTGGTGATATTTTTTAGTCAGGGAGAGAGGGGGAGAAAGGACTACATTGCACTTGAGACATATGAACTAAGGCCTGATCCCAACTGCAGCCTGGGTGTTCAGAAACACCCAGGAAGCCCTTGTGCAGTGAGGGTTGTCTCTGAAAGGTGCCAGGTGCTTCCTAGAGTCCATCCCGTGCTGTCCAGCCCGCATTCGCCACTTCTTCCTGTGTACTGTGGGTATTCACACATCGTCTAAATGAATGCCCATTTATGGTCACTAGTCTTTCATGTGTCAGGAGTAAAAGGCACAAGAACGATGGCTTTTCTAAAGGTACACGTGGGTTTGGTTGGGGGGGTTGCGGGGAGGTCCTACTGATTTTCTGGGACGGTGAGCCCAGGCACAGTATTTCAGGGAAAAACAAAATCTTCCCAGGTGACTCTGATCTGTAACCAGGGTTGAAATCGAGTGAATTGGAGTCATGACAAAAAAACAAGTGATTCAACCAGCCACCATCCGTCCTTGGCCTCACGAGTTTCCATCTCCCAGCGAATCTTGTTTCATGTGGGATCGATTTTCCATGTGCTCTTCTACCCTGGCAGCTGCTATGGCAGAGTCCTCAAAGGAATCCCATCGTTCACTGCACCTCATTTCAAAGCGATTTACAGCACAGTCAAAGCAATAATGAAACAACCCTCTCTTTTTTTATGGGAAATTTGATTATACATGGTGCTTAAATGTTGATGATAAAACTCCTCTGTGTGCTCCGATAAGAAAGCTGCTATATTGTGTTTAAGCCAGCAAACCATCTAGTACATCTGCATGGTCATTGGTAGTGATGGTTGTACCCAAGCACGGAGCAGAGATTGAACTCGGCACACACAAGACAATGACTTGCACAGCCCATGGAGTCTAATGGGCCTGAATACAGAATGCACCGTAGAAAGAAGCACGGTTGGTTGGAGGCTGGGTGTCTGCAGGCCTTGAAGAACTGACTAGGGAGCTGCATGGGGTCAGCACATGAGAATCGACAGAGAAAGATGAAATCTACACATAACTGGTTCACCATGTTTTCCATAGAAACAGAAGTGATTCCTTGTTAAGGAATCAACAAGTTGGAGCCTCAA